CATGGAGTGACCGGCACTGTGTCTGTATAATACCCTATACATGGTATATAGACAGTATACATGGAGTGACCGGCACTGTGTCTGTATAATACCCCATACATGGTATATAGACAGTATACATGGAGTGACTGGCACTGTGTCTGTATAATACCCCATACATGGTATATAGACAGTATACATGGAGTGACTGGCACTGTGTCTGTATAATACCCTATACATGGTATATAGACAGTATACATGGAGTGACTGGCACTGTGTCTGTATAATACCCCATACATGGTATATAGACAGTATACATGGAGTGACTGGCACTGTGTCTGTATAATACCCTATACATGGTATATAGACAGTATACATGGAGTGACCGGCACTGTGTCTGTATAATACCCCATACATGGTATATAGACAGTATACATGGAGTGACCGGCACTGTGTCTGTATAATACCCCATACATGGTATATAGACAGTATACATGGAGTGACCGGCACTGTGTCTGTATAATACCCCATACATGGTATATAGACAGTATACATGGAGTGACCGGCACTGTGTCTGTATAATACCCCATACATGGTATATAGACAGTATACATGGAGTGACTGGCACTGTGTCTGTATAATACCCCATACATGGTATATAGACAGTATACATGGAGTGACTGGCACTGTGTCTGTATAATACCCTATACATGGTATATAGACAGTATACATGGAGTGACCGGCACTGTGTCTGTATAATACCACATACATGGTATATAGACAGTATACATGGAGTGACCGGCACTGTGTCTGTATAATACCCCATACATGGTATATAGACAGTATACATGGGTGACTGGCACTGTGTCTGTATAATACCCTATACATGGTATATAATTATACATGGAGTGACTGGCACTGTGTCTGTATAATACCTATACATGGTATCTAGAACAGTATACATGGGTGACTGGCACAATATGCTGTATATTACCTATACATGGTATATAGACCTTGAAGTATACATGGGTGACGGCACTGTGTCTGTATAATACCCCCATGCATGGTATATAGACAGTATACATGGGTGACTTGACACTGTGTCTGTATAATACCGTATACATGTAGTATATAGACCCGGTGCGGCACTGTGTGTCTGTATATTACCCCACATACATATAGACGGTATACATGGGTGACCCGGCTGTGTCTGTACTCTATTACCCCCATACATGAGGTATATGGACGGTATACATGGGTATTTTGGCACTGTGTCTGTATAATACTACCCTATACATGGTATATAGACAGTATACATGGAGTGACTGGCACTGTGTCTGTATAATCCCCTATACATGGTATACAGACAGTATACATGGAGTGACTGGCGCTGTGTCTGTATAATACCGTATACATGGTATACAGACAGTATACATGGAGTGACTGGCGCTGTGTCTGTATAATACCCTATACATGGTATATAGACAGTATACATGGAGTGACTGGCGCTGTGTCTGTATAATACCCTATACATGGTATACAGACAGTATACATGGAGTGACTGGCGCTGTGTCTGTATAATACCGTATACATGGTATATAGACAGTATACATGGAGTGACTGGCACTGTGTCTGTATAATACCCCATACATGGTATATAGACAGTATACATGGAGTGACTGGCACTGTGTCTGTATAATACCCCATACATGGTATATAGACAGTATACATGGAGTGACTGGCACTGTGTCTTTATAATACCCTATACATGGTATACATGGAGTGACCGGCACTGTGTCTGTATAATACCTTATACATGGTATATAGACAGTATACATGGAGTGACCGGCACTGTGTCTGTATAATACCCCATACATGGTATATAGACAGTATACATGGAGTGACCGGCACTGTGTCTGTATAATACCCTATACATGGTATACAGACAGTATAATACCCTATACATGGTATATAGACAGTATACATGGAGTGACTGGCACTGTGTCTGTATAATACCCCATACATGGTATATAGACAGTATACATGGAGTGACTGGCACTGTGTCTGTATAATACCCCATACATGGTATATAGACAGTATACATGGAGTGACTGGCACTGTGTCTGTATAATACCCCATACATGGTATATAGACAGTATACATGGAGTGACCGGCACTGTGTCTGTATAATACCCCATACATGGTATATAGACAGTATACATGGAGTGACCGGCACTGTGTCTGTATAATACCCTATACATGGTATATAGACAGTATACATGGAGTGACTGGCACTGTGTCTGTATAATACCCCATACATGGTATATAGACAGTATACATGGAGTGACTGGCACTGTGTCTGTATAATACCCATACATGGTATATAGACAGTATACATGGAGTGACCGGCACTGTGTCTGTATAATACCCCATACATGGTATATAGACAGTATACATGGAGTGACTGGCACTGTGTCTGTATAATACCCCATACATGGTATATAGACAGTATACATGGAGTGACCGGCACTGTGTCTGTATAATACCCTATACATGGTATACAGACAGTATACATGGAGTGACCGGCACTGTGTCTGTATAATACCCCATACATGGTATATAGACAGTATACATGGAGTGACCGGCACTGTGTCTGTATAATACCCCATACATGGTATATAGACAGTATACATGGAGTGACTGGCACTGTGTCTGTATAATACCCCATACATGGTATATAGACAGTATACATGGAGTGACCGGCACTGTGTCTGTATAATACCCCATACATGGTATATAGACAGTATACATGGAGTGACTGGCACTGTGTCTGTATAATACCCCATACATGGTATACAGACAGTATACATGGAGTGACCGGCACTGTGTCTGTATAATACCCTATACATGGTATATAGACAGTATACATGGAGTGACCGGCACTGTGTCTGTATAATACCCCATACATGGTATATAGACAGTATACATGGAGTGACCGGCACTGTGTCTGTATAATACCCCATACATGGTATATAGACAGTATACACGGAGTGACTGGCACTGTGTCTGTATAATACCCCATACATGGTATATAGACAGTATAATACCCCATACATGGTATACAGACAGTATACATGGAGTGACTGGCACTGTGTCTGTATAATACCCTATACATGGTATATAGACAGTATACATGGAGTGACTGGCACTGTGTCTGTATAATACCCTATACATGGTATATAGACAGTATACACGGAGTGACTGGCACTGTGTCTGTATAATACCCCATACATGGTATATAGACAGTATACATGGAGTGACCGGCACTGTGTCTGTATAATACCCTATACATGGTATACAGACAGTATACACGGAGTGACCGGCACTGTGTCTGTATAATACCCCATACATGGTATATAGACAGTATACATGGAGTGACCGGCACTGTGTCTGTATAATACCACATACATGGTATATAGACAGTATACATGGAGTGACCGGCACTGTGTCTGTATAATACCCTATACATGGTATATAGACAGTATACATGGAGTGACTGGCACTGTGTCTGTATAATACCCCATACATGGTATATAGACAGTATACATGGAGTGACTGGCACTGTGTCTTTATAATACCCTATACATGGTATACATGGAGTGACCGGCACTGTGTCTGTATAATACCTTATACATGGTATATAGACAGTATACATGGAGTGACTGGCACTGTGTCTGTATAATACCCTATACATGGTATACAGACAGTATACATGGAGTGACTGGCACTGTGTCTGTATAATCCCCTATACATGGTATATAGACTGTATACATGGAGTGACTGGCACTATGTCTGTATAATACCCCATACATGGTATATAGACAGTATACATGGAGTGACTGGCACTGTGTCTGTATAATACCCTATACATGGTATACATGGAGTGACCGCACTGTGTCTGTATAATACCCTATACATGGTATATAGATAGTATACATGGAGTGACTGGCACTGTGTCTGTATAATACCCTATACATGGTATATAGACAGTATACATGGAGTGACTGGCAATGTGTCTGTATAATCCCCTATACATGGTATACAGACAGTATACATGGAGTGACTGGCACTGTGTCTGTATAATACCCTATACATGGTATATAGATAGTATACATGGAGTGACTGGCACTGTGTCTGTATAATACCCTATACATGGTATATAGACAGTATACATGGAGTGACTGGCACTGTGTCTGTATAATCCCCTATACATGGTATACAGACAGTATACATGGAGTGACTGGCGCTGTGTCTGTATAATACCGTATACATGGTATATAGACAGTATACATGGAGTGACTGGCGCTGTGTCTGTATAATACCCTATACATGGTATATAGACAGTATACATGGAGTGACTGGCGCTGTGTCTGTATAATACCCTATACATGGTATATAGACAGTATACATGGAGTGACTGGCACTGTGTCTGTATAATACCCCATACATGGTATATAGACAGTATACATGGAGTGACCGGCACTGTGTCTGTATAATACCCTATACATGGTATATAGACAGTATACATACCCTATACATGGTATATAGACAGTATACATGGAGTGACTGGCACTGTGTCTGTATAATACCCTATACATGGTATATAGACAGTATACATGGAGTGACCGGCACTGTGTCTGTATAATACCACATACATGGTATATAGACAGTATACATGGAGTGACTGGCACTGTGTCTGTATAATACCCTATACATGGTATATAGGCACAGTATAATACCCCATACATGGTATATAGACAGTATACATGGAGTGACTGGCACTGTGTCTGTATAATACCCCATACATGGTATATAGACAGTATACATGGAGTGACCGGCACTGTGTCTGATTAATACCCTTTCCTGTTGGTGCTTTGTAAATATTTAATAAACTGTCGAATGATAATATTATAAGTAATACATCTTCGGACGCTGTGTGAGGTTTCCCAAGCTCTATATCCAAGCAGTGTGTCATTCATGTTATAAGTCACAACAAGTGGGGACGGTTTGTGCAGCTGCTAGACTACTATACCCGGCATGTTCCCTTCATTTAGCACCTGTGGTTCATATATGAGGTAAATCCATACTATTTATGCAGTTACAAGGATGGCCGCTATGTATCATACATGTTAACTGTGGTGGAGCTCATACATGGGTGACCGACAAGTCCCATACTTCCATAGTTAGAATACTGTTGGTGTATCATGTGTCCTACCGGTTATAGAAGTTGATGTTTCACTCAAAAGAGTGGGTGAAGATGGTTTAGTCCTCTAAATTGGGCTCCCCGATAAGGGGATATGAAATGAAAAACACAGTTTGGAGTGTTGTATGAACCATCTCATGAACATTGGGTTGTGATGGGGACCAACTTTTTGTTTGCTAAATGCTATTTGTGGTTTGACCCATTTCTCAATAACTGTATGATAATTCTCTTACTTGCGTATTTAAATTGAGTGGGTAAAGGTATTTGTGAAATCCACTATAGGCAGTCTGTGCTCTCTCGTTAATATTTATATATATTTTATTTGATTTCTCCACTAGTGAGATGTCTTCTGACATTGGAGCACAGCTAAGAAGGAATAAAAGGTATAGAACGAACGTTCAAGAAGATGAAGAACTTCTGATGAAAGAGGAGGCGCTAAGAGCTAAAAATCTGAAGACGCTGCATGAGAAACCAGACACAGAGAGATGTTTGGAAGACTTGGTTTTTGGTGGGGAGGAATTGTTTGTCGAGAAGCTAATTGGTGAAACGAAGGTAAGTTAGTTGCTACTCCATTATAGTGCTTAGAGTGATTTTTGAAAAAAAAATTTTTAACATTTATTTTAATTTAAAGGGACTCTCCAGTGCCAGGAAAACAATCAGTTTTCCTGGCACTGCAGGTCCCCTCTCCCTCCCATCCCTGGTTGCTGAAGGGGTGAAAATGTCTCTCGTCGCTGCTTCTTCTTCTGCCCATGCTCCACCACGTCAGCTGGCGGGGGAGACTGGTCCCGCCCGCTGGCGGGGGAGACCTAACGCCGCCCTGACAAATCAGCATCTCATCATAGAGATGCATTGAATCAATGCATCACTATCGGGAAAGCTCAGCGTCTCCATGCAGAGTGTGGAGATTCTGAACGCCTATGCTGCACACTGAGCACCACTGACCCAGGAAGCACCTCTAGTGGCCGTCCGAGGAGTGGCCACTGGAGGTGTCCGTAGGCAGAAATGTAAACACTGTCTTTTCTCTAAAAAAGGCAGTGTTTACTTTACTTTAAAAATCCTGCAGGGACTTACCATACTCACGTGAACAACTACAATAAGCTGTAGTCCTTCTGGTTACTGTAGTGTTCCTGCTTATGTAAGGGATGTCTATCTTTGGCCCTCAATGCAGCTATTCGTTTCATAGACTTTACATAGACCGTCCAAATGCGACATGCCCACATGATGTGCATTGGACAAGGGATATATCAAATAGTACCTCTACTTACCAAAAGTCTCCCTAACAGATGCCACCGTCTTCCTTTTTACAAGAATATTCTGCTGTAAGATGTTGTACTCGAGTGCATGCACAAGAGTAAAATAGTGATAACACAGAAGTCTATGGAATATTGCCCAAGGTCCAAGAAGGTGACTTTTTTCACAGCCTTCATTTGCTCTCTCTTGTGTCAACCTTTTGCCATTTTCAACAACACAACGTTGTCCCTAGTTTTCTTATATTTGGAATATACACTGCTCAAAAAAATAAAGGGAACACAAAAATAACACATCCTAGATCTGAATGAATTAAAAATTCTTCTGAAATACTTTGTTCTTTACATAGTTGAATGTGCTGACCACAAAATCACATGGAAATCAAAATTTTCAACCCATGGAGGTCTGGATTTGGAGTCACACTCAACTGATCCAACTTTGATGTAATGTCCTTAAAACAAGTCAAAATGAGACTCAGTAGTGTGTGTGGCCTCCACGTGCCTGTATGACCTCCCTACAATTCCTGTGCGTGCTCCTGATGAGGTGGCGGATGGATTCCTGAGGGATCTCCTCCCAGACCTGGACAGTCTGTGGTGCCATGTGACGTTGGTGGATGGAGCGAGACACGATGTCCCAGATGTGCTCAGTTGGATTCAGTTCTGGGGAACGGGCGGGCCAGTCCATAGCATCAATGCCTTCATCTTGCAGGAATTGCTGACACACTCCAGCCACATGAGTTCTAGCATTGTCTTGCGTTAGGAGGAACCCAGGGCCAACCGCACCAGCATATGGTCTCACAAGGGTTCTGAGGATCTCATCTCGGTACCTAATGGCAGTCAGGCTACCTCTGGCGAGCACATGGAGGGCTGTGCAGCCCCCCCAAATAAATGCCACCCCACACCATTACTGACCCACTGCCAAACCGGTCATGCTGGAGGATGTTGCAGGCAGCAGAATGTTCTCCACGGCGTCTCCAGACTCTCACATCTGTCACATGTGCTCAGTGCGAACCTGCTTTCATCTGTGAAGAGCACAGGGTGCCAGTGGTGAATTTGCCAATCTTGGTGTTCTCTGGCAAATGTCAAACATCCTGCACGGTGTTGGGCTGTAAGCACAACCCCCACCTGTGGACGTCGGGCCCTCATACCACCCTCATGGAGTCTGTTTCTGACCGTCTGAGCAGACACATGCACATTTGTGGCCTGCTGGAGGTCATTTTGCAGGACTCTGGCAGTGCTCCTCCTTTTCCGCCTTGCACAAAGGCGGAGGTAGCGGTCCTGCTGCTGGGTTGTTGCCCTACTAGGGCCTCCTCCACGTCTCCTGATGTACTGGCCTGTCTCATGGTAGTGCATCCATGCTCTGGACACAGCTCTCATTGATGTGCCTTCCTGGATGAGCTGCACTACCTGAGCCACTTGTGTGGGTTGTAGACTCCGTCTCATGCTACCACTATAGTGAAAGCACCACCAGCATTCAAAAGTGACCAAAACATCAGCCAGGAAGCATAGGAACTGAGAAGTGGTCTGTGGTCACAACCTGCAGAACCACTCCTTTATTGGGGGTGTCTTGCTAATTGCCTATAATTTCCACTTGTTGTCCATCCTATTTGCACAACAGCATGTGAAATTGATTGTCACTCAGTGTTGCTTCCTAAGTGGACAGTTTAATTTCACTGAAGTGTGATTGACTTGGAGTTACATTGTGTTGTTTAAGTGTTCCCTTTATTTTTTTTGAGCAGTGTATATGAAATTCCAATACTTGGTACGCAAGAATTTCATTGTCACTTCTTTCTAAGCCTACAATAGAGATGTCGCGAACTGTCCGCGAACGGTTCGCCGCGGCAGCTCGCGGCGAACTCCGGTCAGCTGACACGTCCCGGCCAGCTGACCAGAGTTCGCCGCGAACCGTTCGCGAGAAGTTCGCGACATCTCTAGCCTACAATTCCCAGTGTTGTCTGGCAACGAATTCTGGGAAATATAGTTCGGTAATATCTCAATGTCCAATGATGATGATGATGATATCTGCATTTAGGTTCTAGCTTAGAAGTTGGATAAATGTGTTAGGTTTTTGTGAAGGTTCGTAAAATCCTGGCTCTTCACTTAATCTGTTAAAGGGACACTGTAGGCACCCAGACCACTTCAGCTCATTAAAGTGGTCTGGGTGCAAACTCCCATCACCCTTAACCCTGCAGTGGTAATAATTGCAGGTTTTATAAACTGCAATAATTACCTTTTTGAGGGTTAACGACTCAGCTTGTGGCTTTCTACCAGACAGCCACTAGAGGGACTTCCAGATTTGAAACAGACTTTTAATCCGTTATCTGATGTTGGACATCCTCACGCTCTGCACCAGGACCTTCAGCGTCAGATTTTCCCCATAAGAAAGCAGTGAGTAATGCTGTCCTATGGGGAGATCCTAACGCGTGGGAGGAGCGCTGGACCCAGATAAGTGACTGAAGGGGTTATTAACACCTTCAGTGCTGCTGGAGGGGGCCTTAAAAGATGGGGAATCTATAGTGCCACTAAAACGAGTTTGTTTTCCTAGCACTATAGTGGTCCTTTAATACAAGGAAGCCAAAGGAAAGGAGCTATTGCAGCAGCAAATTGAGTAACATTGTTGGATACCATAGGAAATTATACTTTTTATGGTTTAGTCCATCCTTGAACAAAACCAAAATGCATTATCATTGTATATGGAGTTCCATCATATTAAAATTAACAATAACCGCTTTGTTTGGGCCTTGATATTAGATTTAAAGGAACACTATAGCGTCTGAAACACAAACCTGTATTCCGGACTCTAGCGTGTTAAAAACACCATCTAGCCCCCACCCCCCACCCCCCCTCGTTCTCCTTAAATATAGCAAAATCTTACCTTTATTTCAGTCTGCAGTTGCTGATCCCGCCTCTTTAACTGACCTCATCAGAAGTGTTGAACCAAAGCCAATTACAATGCTTCCCCATAGGATTGGCTGAGACTGTCAAGGAAGCAGAGCCAGCACGAACTAAACACAGGCCTGGCCTATCATCGTCTCCTGATAGATATGTATTGAATCAATGCATCTTTGAGGACAGTTCATTCTCTCCATGCAGAGGGTGGAGACACTGAATGTCAGTCACACTGTGCAGCACTGCCCCAGGAAGCACCTCTAGTAGCCATCTGAGGAGTGGCCAGTGGAGTTATCACTAGGCTGTAATGTACACACTGCATTTTCTCTGAAAAGACCATGTTTACAGCAAAAAGCCTGAAAGGACTGATTCTACTCACCAGAACAAATACAATAAGCTGTATTTGTTCTAGTGACTATAGTTCTTTTTAAATACAGGGATTAAGGCGACTCCTTTTATATTGTGACATTTTAGTCATTAAGAAGGTTTATCTCCCTTAATTGGATCTGTTGTCCACAAAATATATTGATGATTTAGTCTTTTTTTGTTGACAACTCATCCAAATTAAATACTAATCTTTTAGAATTTATAATATCTTCTGAAGAAATGGTTCTTGACTCCTCTAGAACAAGGGTCAGGTGTATGTTCCAAATCAAAACTGTTCACCTTTTATATCTGTCTTAGAGAAGAGATGAGCCAAATGAAAATGCTTCCAGTAGTGAATCGGAGGATGACGGCCACGAACACGGATCCCTTCTGCCAAAGAAACCAGCTTGGGTTGATGATGATGATGATGTTGATGAAAAGTAAGTTTTTGATATGTATGTTTATGGCGATATGTGGTTGTATGATCCTAGTTTTATTCCCCATTGACTCTGCTGTATTTTCAGTTTTTCGTTTTTTTTTCATTGTAGAATTGAAATGACCCATCGTTACCGCAAAGGTTTCCAGAAAAGTAAACAAGAAGCTGCACTTAGTAAGGAGAAACTCCAGATGAGACTACGAGAAGAGTGGGTGAAATTTTGTTTATTGTGATTTATATTTTTGTCTATTTTTCACTTAAACAATATTTCTTAATGCTTTATGGTCTCGTCGGTGTTGCTGTTTTGAAAGTTTGCAGACATAATCTCAGGGAATTTGGGTGAACTATCCATTTTCATTTTGTAAATATTTTTTTGTCTTTTCCATTTGTAGATTCCAGAAAGCAATGGGAGGGGTGCAATCATGGGCTTCCATCGAACACAAAAAGAAAGGTGCCAACCAAGGTACATTTGAAATATTGCCGTGGTGTGTGATTTAGAATCTAAATTATCTACATAATTGATAGTGATGACATGTGCATCGGTGCTGTGCTCAGCGTTCTGTCAGTGGTGTAGATTATTCTTTGTAATTAAAAGATTTTTACAGAATTCAAAAGTTACATTTTACTATGTTGATAAAGTTCAAAATCTGGGGGGGGGGGCCCGACAGCCGAGCAGGATAGATGCATAGTGTAACGGACCGTTTTGCACACAAGAGGTTAAAAAACGTTTAGGCGATATTCCCCTTTTCAGATGCACAGACAGCTACTGCAATCACCAATCTCCTGAACTGCAAACACATGAATTCACAAATCTCCCGAACTGCAAACACATGAATTCACCAATCTCCCGAACTGCAAACACATGAATTCACCAATCTCCCGAACGGCAAACACATGAATTCACCAATCTCCCGAACGGCAAACACATGAATGCTGTAAACAGCCGAACAGGAAAAACCATACGAACAGTTTACACTCCTGGCAGTCGCACTGTAACAGCATACAATCCAATTCCCCCCAAGAACTAGACGACACTTAATTTGAGGGTCAAGCAGAACTGATTTACTGGGGCTACCTGCCTGGCTTTTATGCAGGTCTCCCACCTGGTGGACACTCCCCTAGGGGACCAGATAATAGACTGGGAAACCAATCACAAATTTACAATCCCACAATGCATCACAATCCCTCCTCTCTGTCCTGGAGATAATTGGGAAGTAATCCAATTATCTCCAAGGACAGAGGCAAAACTCCATTAACCACATGGCAGACAAAGGACAATAAAAGACCTAAAAATACATACTGTTACATTTATCACATAGAACATACACATTCTACCTATCCCCAGATAGCTTAGCTCTGAGCGCACATTATTACCGACTGGCGCTCAGATCACATACATACAGTTCAATCGCCATGGAGCCAAAGTCTTTCATACAGTCTTTCAGTATACGGCTGGGCTCCATGACATAGCTATCTGGGGCAGCATGGGTTAAACAGTAAAGTACCAAATGGACCGTTGTTCGGATAATTGACTGCAGGTAGGAGAAGGGAGGTCGGCAGCTCAGCGGTATTCGTGACTTTGACAGTCCGCAGAAAGGCATGAACCAGCCTTTCTGCAGGGAAAAAGAACAGTGTTAAATATGGGGCCATAGTCCAGCGGCAGAAGGCAGGCGACCAGGCTCCTCCAGTGGCCAGTGGCGAGGTTGGTTCCGCCACACATGGTGCTGGAGCTCCTCTGGAAAATCCACTAACTTAGCCTGAAACTGCATATTACCGCTATTAGTCTCGGCTAAAAGCTTATCTTCAACCCGGAGGAACACTCTGCCTGCTATCAGCTACTTCTATGCCGGCAGCCAGTAGATACAGCCTGTAACAGAATCCCTTGCGGCCCACCGCTGCCCACGAGGATGGGAAGGCGGCTGTTCCCCAGCCTTAATTGGGAGCTAGTTAACTCTGAGCCATGTCCCTTCCCCCTTCCCCTTTGGACCAGTGGGGGATATCCCGGTCCCCACTAGTGCAGTGGAGCAGTCACTTCACCAAGAACCCCAGTTAACGCACAAAATGACAAATTGCAGCCTAGCAGCTACACGCATGCATGAAAGCATTCCTCGTGGCCTTTGATCGCATCTGTGACAACTCCTAGACAACACTCCAGAAACGAGAACTTACTGCTGCATCTGCGGGCTATGGCGCATCAGTACGGAGCCGTACGGTGGCCAGGCACAGCCTGGATCAACATCCTCCACATGCGACTGGAGGGATGCTGACGCGGAAAAGCAGCCGAGGCTGGCGGCTGTACATGAACACTACAGATTGCAGGCGGGACCAGCGTGAACGGCCTGATCCGGAGGCCCATCATCCCGGTGACCAGAGGAGCAAGACAGGCAGACCGCGGAAGAAGTTCCCGCCAAAACACTGGCTACCATCCTGAATGAGTTCTACCTGGACTGTCTGGGAGCCTGGGCTAGAGGGGGGAGCCTTACCGACGCAACTAATTGCGGAGGAGACTGGATCTCTATACCTCTGGGCATTGTTTAGGTGCCATCTGCTGATTTCTTGTGCTTGATAATGGCTTGCTGCAAAAACCAGTAACCAGAATACTCATGCTGACTACCTAGTGGTTTTTCTAAGCTTATAGTTTCCTCCAAAGCCACTCATATCTATCTTTACTATTTAACTTTTCTCTTTTTGCTACATTTGTCAGTATATATAATTTGCCTTTCTAATCCTCTTGACTTCACAACTACTGGCGAGATCTGCTTCAGCATGTTTAATATAAAAAATTGTGCAGTTTCCTCATGTGCCATAGTATTGTATAATTTCAATTGATTAGGTTTGCTATGGGAGCAACACATGCTTGTATGTCAATCTTTTGCACACACACAAAAAATAATAAATAAATAATAATAAAAAAAATGTTAAGTTCAAAATGTGAGGAGGTGCCTTCTCCGCTTTGGATTGCACTAGTTGTTGCATCTATAAGAGAGTGCCATCTCGATCTCTTTGGTTTTCAGTGGTATTTTGAAACCTAAAATAAATGAGTACACGTATTAAAAGGGACACCATAGTCACCAGAACCACTACAGCTTAATATAGTGGTCCTAGTGTCTATACCCTATCAATGCAGTCTTAGAACCGTTTCAGACAAAATAAAATGTTTGCATTGCAGCCTAGTAACCCCTTTAGTGGCTGTCACTCAGACGGCCACTAGAAGTGCTTCCTAGTCCAGTGCTGCACAGAGTGCAGCACTGGCATTTAGCGTCTCCACCCTCTGCATGGGGACAATGAACGTTCCCCATAGAGATGCATCTCTATGAGGAGATGCTGATTGGCACAGAGCAGTGTTTTGCCGCACAAGCGCAATCGATGGGAAAGGATTGGATTGGCTGATATCATCAAGATTGATCTCAACCATGGAAGGGGAACCAGCTGCGATAAGACTGACTGTGTGGGGAAAAAGATGAGTAAAATCACCTGTAATCTCAAAAGGGGGTGGGCAGGGACCTAATGATTTATAGCATTATATGTTTGTATTGCTGACACTAGAGTGTTCCTTTAATGTTGTGTACTACACATAGCATAGGCAAAATATCCGCACGGTAGAATCCTCCATGTTCCTGCCATAGGTTGTAATGGAATAACTGTACAAGTTTCTACAATTATAAAACCTGCGGCAAAGTGCTACATGGGGAACAACTAGCAAAAGGATTCCATTGGTTTCCATGGTGACTGCTGTAGCTATATAGCACTTGTGCCCAAGAAACACCACCTTGATCAGTAAGCAGTGAGTTGTAATCGTCTCCACATATCACCCTTTTGGGTTGTGTTAACTAAACTGTAACTTATGTAGAATTGCTGTTTTAATCCTTAATAGCTGAACAAGTAGCCGTGTTAGAGAATTTTTCTTCCTTTGCCGTCTTTTGGTTTTAATGAACCCGTATTCGCGTTCTTGGAATAAAAGATGGTAATGGATCTTGGTTTCTATTGCAGATGATGATGATGATGATGATGACGACGATGGCAGTGAAGAAGAAAATGAAGATAATCTGTTAAGTAAGACTGGCAATTTGCTAACCAAATCAAGTTCTCTACCAAGAGGTGTCTTGCAGGTAAGTCTATCTACCCATCACTAAACCTTTTTCCAGTTTGGAATATTAGAAAATATTTTATCTTTGTTAATAGTATTTTTAAGAAGTGGACTTTTTGAGAACGCTGCATGTATTTTTCAAGTTCCTTTCTCATAAATAGTTTAATTCCGACCATTAAAGTGAACCTGTGAATTACCAAAATAATGTAGGTGACATTCAGGGTGGGATTCTGTCAGATATATTTTTAGTAAATTAAAACTATCCAAGTTGTTGGCTATTGAGTGATCGTAAATACGACGTTGTGTATTTTTAAATCGAAAACTAAACCTAACCCTAATCATTGTTTTCCAGGTGAAAAGGTGCCTGAGTGCTAATCATGAAAGACTATCAAAGGTTCCGCTCTCAACTGTGCAGTTCCATCCGTTGGCCCAAGTTATAATGACAGCGGGTGTTGATCGCACAATCTCTCTGTTTCAGGTAAATAAAGGGATTTAAGCCAACAATTCGCTGCATTTTTAGTCTTACGGCCTCTAGAGTCACTGCAGTTTGCCATGATGTGGCTTGTTTGGAAATGATATCTAGGCTTTTTCAGACTAGAGAGACACCCATGTGACTCTCTAATCAGGACATGAATACGAGAGATATATTTATTGCTTAATCTTTACTGTTTGTAGGTTGATGGGAAATTAAATCCAAAGATTCAAAGCATCCATCTGGAAAAGTTTCCCATTTTTAAGGCTCAGTTCAGTGCCGATGGCGAACAAGTGGTAGCCACAGGAATGCGGCAAAGACTGTTTTACATATACGACATGATGGGCGGAAACATAATTCCATTTCACAGAATAAGAGGTGAGAGCTTTTATGGGTTTAGATTCTCCGTTATTCACTAAAAGTAAGAATTTAAAGTGAATTTCAAATTTAAGGTCAAAGTAGCCAAAACCAGAAAAATTCTGTCAGCTGTGCTTTTAGCTCTTCTACTTTGGCCTTGAATTTGAAATTCACTTTGAATTATCAGTTTAGTAAATAACACTATATGTGTTCTATTGCTGCTTTTTTTGGCTCCAAGATTGGAAATTTTTAAAAGAATTCTGGTGTGCCTAGGAAGGCCCAGAGGAGTCATTTCCTCCAGTCTTGAAGGACGGGATGTCCTGGCACATCATTGAAATTAGGGGCCTCCATTCGGCTTATACAACATGTGTTATTTCATACGCCGAGTGCTTATATGATCAATCTAGTAAAATAGCCGGTAGATTATACTCTATATCAGTGTGTGTATTTATAATACATTTAATACTGCATTATCTTTACCAATGTATAATACAAACCTACTTGGATTACTATAAACAAGTGTTTTAATGCATTTTATTTATACTTGCCGATACTTTTCTTTTTATGTTTCAGGTGTGAATGAGAAATGTCTCCAGCAGTTTGAGGTGTCCAACGATGGCTCCTTCCTGCTGTTTAATGGATCTGCTGGATACCTTCATTTGCTGTCTATGAAGGTAGCTCTCCTACCTGTTATTTATTAAATGTCACATTTCTAAATCGGCTGCTTTCTATTCTGGAACAAAATGTATAATGTTGGAGATTTATTAACAAATCATGCCTACAAGAGTGGATAAGTACTCCGGGTTTGGGTTCCTGCGCATGTCGCCATAAACCAAGGGAAGACTTATTCAATCAGAGACAAAATTATTGCACGTTTTTTTCAATAAAGTGTATATTGCCAGTAATTCTTAGTGAATTTCAAATAGTTTAAAATAGTCAAATTGGAATATTTTTTTACCAAATTCATTTCATTTAGACTAAAATTTTAAAATATTTTATTTTTATTCTAGACAAAAGAGCTGATTGGAAGTATGAAGATGAACGGAAATTCTATGAAAGCCGTGTTTTCACCAGATTGCAGTAAAATCATTTCTAATTCAGGTATAGAACAAATATTGAGTGTCTCTGACAGCCCCGGGTGTCTGCATGCGCATTGAGTAATGTATGAGACCATATTTCCTACTGCAGAGCGTCTGGGTGAATGCATTTAAAGGGAAGCCTTAGGCCAGCTCACTGTCAGGCAATTATTGTTATCCAGGCTGGATAGATTCTAATTGTGGCTGTGACTGAAGAATGTCTAAAACCTTGACCCATAAAGTGCTAATATGTCTGTAGCGGGCCCTGTTCCTAGTGTCCTGTTCCCAGGTTCAGACAACACTCAGCCCTGGAGGCTCTCTGTCCTTACCAGGACTTTTCCCCTATTTTCTTCTACCTGCAAGCTGGAACAGCAGACACAGGGGTTAAAATCTTCTTCCCCTCCAGTAAAAGGAGGACACACAGTTTGGAGGTTTAAACACTGGCATCTCACCAGGCTGAGTCACACTCTTCAATGATTACATTAAGCACAGACCTCCGCAGGGGGTCTCCATTCCACACCATACACTTCCCTTAGTCCAAGGCAGGAGGACGTTGGGTTACAGATAGCCATCTCCCACCTTAGGATACCAAGCAGTACACAGGGATACACTTTACATCATTTTACATTCAGGGGTGTCACACTTTAAGTGGCTGGTTTTGCCACAGATAGGAATAGCAATGCAGTAATAGCAAGATATATACAAGGACATTCTGTAAGTGGCTAGGTTTGCCACACGGGACAGGGCAAGTGATTGCCAAATACAAAGGGAAACACATACCTAACAAGGGAAAACCATCACAGTACATATTGGAGACACAAAATATAAAACCAAACCTCTGAATACTCAGGGGTCATGGCACTTAGTGGCGATGTCCCGCCACAATGTCATTTGGGAATATTGCATCTGTGTGAATCAAAGCCATAAACTAAAATCTACCAAGTGCTCAGAATCCGCAACAACCAAATAGCATGAATTGCTACCTGGGGGGAACATTATAAACAAAGCTTATATTTATTTATTTGCAGAACCAAAGTACACTCTGAAGTATGATATAAAAATGAAATGCACACGTGATATTGCTGGAGTAACAATTTTTTCACTAGTCTTGCTTTTCTTTGTATCCCAATTTTGTTGGCATTCAGTAAAGTGTGTGCAATATAATCTGAGTTCTTTCCTATCTCCCAGATGATGGCTCTGTGTATATTTGGGACGTGAAAAGCAGAAGGTGTATCAACAAGTTTACAGATGATGGCAGTGTGCATGGAGCATCTCTTGCGTTGTCCAGAGACGGGCGCTATCTGACCTGTGGGTAAGTACATCTTGGATATGATTTAACCTCTTCCCTCCCTGCACTATGTGTACTGACGCTATTTTTTTATTTGTTTTTGATTTTCAAAGCTGTGCAAACTTAAACTTCTTAAGCTTACTTTCCCCTTTGCATCAACCTTGGATTGCAGCATTCACAGAAACACAGCATTCTTCTGTATCTCTGCATCGTTTGCTTAAGGGTTGTAAATTCTCTGTAAGGTCGTCCCTCCTTTAATTCTTGCACTGCGGTCTTGTGATTCCTAGTTATCCCCTGATGAAGACTATAGTGGCACAAATGTTTTGAAACCCTTTTTCAATTTACAAAGGGTGTTGTACATTGAAAAAGGGAATATGAGAGCACAATCCGAGCTGGTGACTGTATTTTGTTGGCCATTGCCAGTGTTCAGATCAGCGGGGTTTGCGGTGGATAGTATATTTTAGACATGGCTAGTGGCAGGTTGACATTGTATTGCCCTGTGTTTCAGATCTAACTCTGGCGTTGTGAATATATACAATTATGAGGACTGTCTACAGGCAACAAATCCCAAACCGCTCAGATCAATAATGAATTTGGTAACCGCAGCGTCGTCCATGGTCTTTAATTTGCAAACAGAAATCCTGGCTGTGGCTTCAAACAAACTGGATGATGCTGTTAAATTAGTAAGTGTCTCTCACTACTGTTTACCTTTTTCCTTTCTTTTTCTAGGTCTCTACTACTTTTCTGGCAGTCATGAACCTTCTTTTTGATCAAAAAACCTTGGAATGTTTGGCCTTTAGGTAAAGCCCAAGCTAAAATTATAACTGAGACGGTAGTATATGGTATCACCATCAAGCATTCCCTTCTTCCCATAAAAGAAAATCACCCAATACTCCACAAGTAGAAATATCCATGGAATCGCTGAATAATCCACACATGAGCCAAAGCTTAATGCTGGAACAAGACTGATTTACTGGCACACAGGACTCACAATTTATGCAATACAAAACTCCTCCTCTGGACCAGGCTAAATAATTGAGTTTCAACAATACACAAAGCTCAATTATCTGCTGGCCAGAAACATTACAATTTTTAACAATTTCAGAAAAGTACTTTTTATAAGACATACAAATATAATTTTAACATCCCTAGGTAGCTGAGGATACTGGTATTCACATATCCAAATCTCACGAATTTCCGTTCGGTAGTTTCCGTGTCGCATCGTGTGGAAGCTTGACCGGCTCGGCAAGTGGAGGTATCCGAGTTAGAGTTCCATGAAATCAGTAGCAGGAGCCGGTCTCCGTTCGCATCTAACTACACGAAAACCACCGTTCGTATGGTGCAGCTGGTTACATACGAATGTTCCCCTCGTTCGGTAGATTCTATTTACCGAATGCCAGTTTGATTCATGGCGGGGAACGTATACATCCAGGACTTCCATGAAGACCAGGCGTTCGCATGTTTGCCTTGCCGAAAATAGTTCCAGGCAATTCATGCGTATGCCCGCTGACAGCGTTTGTGAGTTTTTAAGATGGCCGCCATACTTTGTTCTCGCCACGTGTTCGTATGCCGAATGGCGGCCACCCAGGAGCAATTAAGTTGTGGTTTTCTCCCCATTCTAATGCTGATTGCTACCCAGGGTAGGTGGTCTCTCGTTCGGTAGACGAATACAAGCTTTCACATACATAACCAAACGAACTGAATACAAGCAATTAAACAGCAGGGTGAGGATAAAACTGAAGGCACACAGGTAAGTACAAGAGATCCTTCACAATAACCAGGTTGGCGTCCTGAGTATATTTTTTTTCTCGTTTGTAAAAATTACTACTGCTTTAAAACAGCCCAGCAACATTGTCATCTAGCACGCACCATAAGGAAAAAGAACTCTCTTTATTTTTAGAGAGAGCTGAGCCAGACGCTGCACTTGTAATGGTAAACCGTCCGATTCACAAAATGGTGAACTAGGCTGTGTTCAGCTGGGAGCAGCATTAGTATGGGTGATATCCATTTACTAAACCGTTTAAATCATCATGTGATGAGTGGAACTTCAGTTGGAGAATAAACTACTTATCCCATAATCCTCTGCTTCACAAAGTATAATGGGATAAGATTATTCCCCACAGAACAGAAATGAGACTGTCCTGATTGGAGCATGTTATCCTGGTAGTGCACACACAGAGACATTTTAAAAGTTGCGTAACCTTGTCAGTGCATTTCCTGGGTCTTTCTGTGTGGAAATGGCCATCTTAAAGTCCGCTTTGAAAAAATAACCAAAACTGTAAACAAAAATAAACCCGTGGAGTTGCTGTATCTCTGGTGCTGTTGGAATGTGCTAACATTTCGGATCTGGACTGCCATGGTGGATGGAACCAGTTTCATATGCAGATGGACATAGGTTCTCTCTATAATAATACAAATAAGCTAAACCTTGTTTGAGACTGGAGCTGGCCCTAACAAAATGGCTGAATATTTGAGTTGCTGCCTGTTCACCAAGTTCTGTATTTTTGTCAGTGGAGTGTAAGCTTTTTAGACTGTGATTGGCTCTTGGATACCTGCATGGTTTTGATGATTACACCCTTAAAAGAATAAAACGCCCTCACAAAGAAATTAGATGTATACTTATAGCTTATGTGCATATTTCTCACACACGCACACGTTTAGTGAGTACCTGATATTCAACGCTCCACATTTATTTATTTACATATTTTCAGTAACGTAAGGCCATCAACCTGCTGGAAGTAAAGGGTGGATTTGGTAAATTGTTTTCTTTAACTATAAAACAACCTTATAATACCAAAAATTTAATTATGTATAACTGTATCATTTATGATCCCCACATTTTGTAACACTACAGATTCACATTCCATCGTTCACCGTGTTCTCCAACTTTCCAACGCAAGGAAATCGCAGAACCATCCATCTTCCCTCTGCCATGGACTTCTCGCCGCGCAGCGGATTCTTTTCCATAGCAAACAATAAAGGAGAAGCTTTGCTGTACAGGTAGGTGCCTGGACGAGTTTAGCTGCAAGACGAGGAAGCTTTCTAAATTGCGTGCTTACCCAGTGAACCATCCTTTTACTTTTCTAATTCCATTATCTATAGAAGCCTGTAATTGTATGGGGCGTTATCTTTGCATTGGGTTGATCCTTACTCACAAGCCTTGATGCCTCTTATGCCCATTCTTTCCTGTGTTCGTTAAAGTCGGAATAACTGTCTCTCTTGCATTTGATGGCCATATAACTAGTACAGTGTGTGTATTGTATTGGGGGTTAGTTAGTTTTTTGAGTGACTTGTATAAACCGCAATGTACATTATTCTCAAAGTTTAACGAACGACTTTACAAGTTATTCTCAAGAACCGCCTGCTTAAGAAGTAAAGGTTGCCGCTTGGCGTTGTCCTGTTCTGGTCATGTTTCTTAGTATATGCCACCTGCGTATGTGAACCTGAGACTTGAATCTTTCTTTGCTGTGTCTGTATTCAGCCAGTGCCTCCATGTGGGCAGCTCAGCCCACACACCCAGTAACCTACAGCTTGGGAAAATCCTCGACGGTCTGTCTCTTGCATGTTGTTAGAACTAAAATTTATTAGAAAACACAGGATTTTCAGCAAGCGTTTCAATGTGCATTATATAATATTACACTATTCTAAATAGTATTTTTTTCTTTTTGAAGATTAAAACATTACACGGACTTCTAATCTGTGGCAGTTTTGGTAAGTCATAATTCATGGATATAACAAAGTAATATTTTATTGTGAAAACCAATTGTATTTCCTACTGGAATAACCATTTTGAATGCTCCTATCTTGATCCTGGGAATGTTTATTATGATTATAAAAGTCTAACTCTATGGAAAAAAATATCATTTATGTTTAATTTGTGGCAAATTCCCAAATATTTAGAAGTTGACTTTGCTTTATTATTTTGCTGCATCTTTATTAATTGATTGGACTGTGTTGTTGTTCTTTAGTACTTTAATATATGCTGATATAGAGAATATTTAAATGCACTGCAGGTTCCCACACGTTAGGTGCACTATGTAGGTTAGGTTACAGTTAGTTATACTCTGTGGGTTTATATTATTAAAGGGTCACTCCAGGCTCCCACACACGTTAGATGCACTGTGTAGGTTAGGTTACAGTTAGTTATACTGGGTGGGTTTATATTATTAAAGGGACACTCCAGGCTCCCACACACGTTAGATGCACTGTGTAGGTTAGGTTACAGTTAGTTATACTGGGTGGGTTTATATTATTAAAGGGTCACTCCAGGCTCCCACACACGTTAGATGCACTGTGTAGGTTAGGTTACAGTTAGTTATACTGGGTGGGTTTATATTATTAAAGGGACACTCCAGGTTCCCACACACTTTAGATGCACTGTGTAGGTTAGGTTACAGTTAGTTATACTGGGTGGGTTTATATTATTAAAGGGACACTCCAGGTTCCCACACACGTTAGGTGCACTGTGTAGGTTAGGTTACAGTTAGTTATACTGGGTGGGTTTATATTATTAAAGGGACACTCCAGGCTCCCACACACGTTAGATGCACTGTGTAGGTTAGGTTACAGTTAGTTGTACTGGGTGGGTTTATATTATTAAAGGGACACTCCAGGCTCCCACACACGTTAGGTGCACTGTGTAGGTTAGGTTACAGTTAGTTATACTGGGTGGGTTTATATTATTAAAGGGACACTCCAGGCTCCCACACACGTTAGGTGCACTGTGTAGGTAGGTTACAGTAAGTTATACTGGGTGGGTTTATATTATTAAAGGGACACTCCAGGCTCCCACACACGTTAGGTGCACTGTGTAGGTTAGGTTACAGTCAGTTGTACTGGGTGGGTTTATATTATTAAAGGGACACTCCAGGCTCCCACACACGTTAGGTGCACTGTGTAGGTTAGGGTACGGTTAGTTATACTTAGTGGGTTTATATTATTAAAGGGACACTCCAAGCTCCCACACACGTTAGATGCACTGTGTAGGTTAGGTTACAGTTAGTTATACTGGGTGGGTTTATATTATTAAAGGGTCACTCCAGGCTCCCACACACGTTAGATGCACTGTGTAGGTTAGGTTACAGTTAGTTATACTGGGTGGGTTTATATTATTAAAGGGACACTCCAGGCTCCTACACACGTTAGGTGCACTGTGTAGGTTAGGGTACGGTTAGTTATACTTAGTGGGTTTATATTATTAAAGGGACACTCCAAGCTCCCACACGTTAGATGCACTGTGTAGGTTAGGTTACAGTTAGTTATACTTTGTGGCTTTATATTATTAAAGGGACACTCCAGGCTCTCTCACATGTTGGATGCATTGTGTAGGTTAGGGTACGGTTGTGCTGGGTGGGATGTTTGCTCCATAAGCAATTTGTCATGACTTGGTTTCTTGCAGTTGTAGTTCAGATTTATAAATTAGAAACCTAACAATTGAACTGAAATACACAGAGATGCTGGCAGTGCCCATAAAGCACTTGGCTGTGCTGGTGTCTCCTCCATTGTACCTGCTGTAATGTGCTTGATGTTTTGTACTGTTACAATATGTTATTTGTCTTCTCTCTCCCAGAATAGTATTTTCTTGTCGGTTTTATTTGGACCGGATACATCAATCCCTAGAAATTCAGTGAACAATGAAGATTCCTCCAACATAAGTGGTTTTACCCCATTTAAGAACCTGACACAAAATTCTGTAAATATGGACAGCTTATCCAACACACCTCTTCAATTTGTGTATTTTACACATCTGTTGTATAAATGATGTCTATACTGTGAGTGTTCTCTGCCAATCCCAAAATAAATATCTTTATTATATTTTTAGATCTTGTGTGTTTTGTTAGATTATTTTCTTATGCCGGATATTGTAAGTTTTCGATTGTTTGGAGATTTACAAGCTCTTTACTGAAGCCATGTGTAATTGTAACCCATATTTGCAGGAACTTTGACCAGCAGCACTGTTGGCCAGTCGACATCAGAAGAGGCATTGAATCCAGTCTCTTTCCGGAGGCCAACTCTAAGCACATATGTTTAATTCACTGGCAGATTAAACGAAGACTCCAGTATGATAAATACAAATAATGAGGCAAGGCACATGCGCGACAATCTGTAACAGAGAATCATTAAAACAAATACCTCACTATGTAAAACCCTCACATATACTTTGAATGGAGCACTGAAGACAAGTGAAAACTAGCACCCTCCCAGCTGTCTCACGGCCAGTGATGCTTTCTAAAAGTGCCAGTATCTCTTGATATTGGCCCTTTTATACAGTTAGAAACATGGCACACTTAAGGACTAAAACATTTAAGCAAGTTGCAGTGCGTAAGGGATGACTTCAATGTAACACACCGCGGCTTTCCTTTCCCTTTTATTTATTACATCCTTTGAAAACGTTTGACGTTCAACAGGGGTCAAAAAAAGCCAGGAAGATGTATATTGGAAGTCTCTGATACTGGAAAGCATCCAGGGCTTGCAGGTCTGGATATGAATGCTTAATACATTTACAATTTTAAATGAATGCAACAAAAAATCAAAGATCACTTCAAATATTCCGTTTTATTGCACATTAAGTTTTTAAGAATGCATGACAAATTACTGGGAAGATTACAATATTTGTAACACATAAAATTTCTTTTATAAACAAAAATATTTGTAGGAAGCGGGCACGTCACATACTGAGCTCCTTCTTATAAATCCTCTAAAATTGAAAGCGGTAACTATAGCGGATAAATCGAACGTTTGACATTCCCAAAACCTAAAGAATATTTTAATAGAATTCCGTTACATGCATTGTACATACAATAAGAATAAGATAGGAATCTGTATCCCTCTATAATAGTCCCAACTCTTTTTTAAATGTAAAAGTTATACCTACAGGACAGATCAAAGAAATCAGGCTACATTAATTCAATATACATTTCATGCATAATGTCTTACTCAAAGCACTTTAATCAAAATGGGTTGAATCGGGATCAGTAAGAGTAAGCGATAGCTATAAACACGGAAGTTGACGGAATTGCTGCGAATTTAAGTCTGTCAGTGGACAAATCAAGATCATATGGTAAAGCTGTGCCCTTCACATTACTTAAACAATTAGCAGGTTTGGGCATGGATCATGATATATAGCAGTGATGACAATGGACAGTCTTGGTACTCCATTTGTATTACCTGCAATGCTTTGCCATTGCTGTATTGAGAACTTTTTTTTTTTTTTTTTTTGTGTAAACTAATAATTAGAAGAGCACTAATTTTACTAAGCCATTAACTACCCCATTGGATTAATGGTATCAATGTCACAGTGAACATTTATTTATGCAAAGCTAGCCCCAGACACAAGGAAAAAAAACACACCTATAAAAATAAATGTTTTGTTGCATAAATAGTGAAGGGGCATAAATTATATGGCATTTCCTCCCCCTATCCCCAAGTTTGTTTTTTTATGGACACGGACACGGACACGGACGGACACTCACTCACACACACACTCACTCACTCACTCACTCACTCACTCTCACTCTCAAGACTTTACCTGTCTTTGGGAATACAGTTTGTAAAATTGCTGCTGTGCTGAAATATGTGTGGATATTGTTAGAATGACACAATATACACTATTACCTGTACAAAAACAAACCCGTTCACCAGTACATAATCTGTTATAAATAATATTTCACGTTTAAAGCACCAATATATCCCATAGCACCTGAAATTGAAGGGTCTTAAAGTTCGATTTATATTTTCAGTTTTGTTCTTCAAAATATGTTCTGTAGAAATCTCTCTAAGTGAAATTTTCCAGTTTGAGAACTTGATACTGAGATTAGATGTGGCCATCCATTCTCCAATTTTGCGCTAAACCATGCATATTACTTCACTATCTCCAACCTAAAACCAAGTGCCTAGTGCAAAATGCACATGTCTTCCCCTCCTGGTGCTCCTGTGTCTGTCTAAAGACAAAGAATCCACTGGGAAATAAGTGGATCATCACTTTTGAGAAGACGTGGTCTTTGGTCACCCCTAGGCACAAGGGTAAAAGTTTTCTCCCCATTGTGGTGGTTTATCCCACATGGTATCATCACTGCAGAGGCACAAATTAACATCTTCACCGGAGTTAATCTCCATGGAGGATATTGCATACAGTGTGTCTGAGACCATGCATAATGCCTTGGTCACCGATGGTGTACACTGCATTTGCTCTGTCCCTTACAACCATCAAATAAATTGTCCCATGGGCAAAACACTATATCGAGGACATTTTGAAGACCAGTCTGATCTTCCTCTTTGTGTACTGCATGTGACACAGATCTCCACAGTGTTCTACACATTTTAGTGATTAAATGAACACTGTGAAAAGAACAGCCACCAGAGGATGATTCCTAGAGTACTGTATGGACTGGGTCTCACAAAGTAACTTGTGACATTTATTGTAGCAGCCCAACAGAAAATCTGGGTAGCCAAGATCTATCCGATGATCAGGCAAGGCCAGAGTATGACAGTTGGGTTATAGCAATTGATAAATGTTGCGGCTTGTGGACCCACCTGCCAGGAAGTCCTCTACATTAAAACAAAGAGCATGAAGACATATCTGGTTTCTATAGGGCCAGCACAGCTACCATATTCGTTTTGCAGAAAATATGTTGAGCTGGAGCCTTATTTGCTTCCACCAGCTTCAAAACAAGAGGGCAAAGCCCAACTTAACCACCTGGAGTCCATTAGGTAAGCTTGCCTAAGCCAATGTGCATATTGTGGTCAGCTGATAAATATATCTGGTGTGAGATCAAGTGACAAGGATTGAAGGTTGGCTTTTTTTTTTTTTTTTTGTATCCTGGTTCATTATAAAGGCAAAAATGAGCCAAGGGAAAACTCAAGAAAATGAGGGATAACCCCTAACTAGTGAGTTGCAAGAATGGAAATAAAGAGATAAACAATATGTGTTCCCAAATAAGGTAAATATCCCGAGATAACCAAGACAATATAGGGTTGAAGTAATTATAACTGTATTTAAAAAAAGGTCAGGTTTTAATACAATAGATTAAACTAATATGAGAAATATCTAGTATAGTCATCAGAGAGGATGGGCCACTCTGGTGAAAGGCTTGTCAGAGGCTCAGTGGCCTTTCTACAGTATCGATAATGTTTGGTTAACATATCAGTCCCTTTAGTACGTGGGAATGTGTGGCTCATAGATTAGTCGATATTTTTACTGTAGCAACCATCTGTGTTTTGTATCCTACTATATTTTAGAAATATGTGACTAGCATAAGTGTATTTAGCTGTTAGAAGGAAGTCAATCAGGTGCCCTTGAAGGCACGAGTTTAGTTTAATTTAGGCAAAATATTATCTCCCTGTTCTCTATTGCTTTAAGTGTTGGTTAATATCAATGTTTAGGCTATATTCCACTATCTAGCGCCCTTGAAGGCAATTTAGGACTTTAGTTTTATCTCACCATTATCATACCCTCATCAGTGTCCTTCTAAAGCCCTGTACCGTATCTCTGTGATTTTGTTTTCTACTGTTACAAATATAGTTACAAAACTTTGGGCTACAGTAACCATGATACTGTCTCCATGTCTATTAGGACAGGATTTATAGTGAGATAATTTGATACAATTGTAGTCCTATTGCCTTACAATCCTGGGATCCAGCATTTTACAAGGGTATACTGAATATTTCTCTATTAGTTTCATCTATTGTATTCGTTTTAACTTTAAACTTTATTTCAACCCCATATTGTTTTGGTTATCTGGGGATATTTCCCTTACTAGGGGATATATATATTTGTTGTTTATGTTCTTTCCATTCTTTTTATCCTGTTTGCATCTTCTTATCCCAACACCAGACAGTGATCATGTCAGTTTCTCTCTAAATTTGGCATATTAAATGCCCCAAGCTGTGTCCCCCAGAGTTAAAACAGAAGGCAATGAAACATTTGATGAATCAATGAACCATCCAACAACTGATGGCAAACTAGAAAGCACAACCTGCTTCTGTGTGAACCAGAGAAAGCTCAGTGTGAGTATCTCCTATACTCCAACTCAAAGCCTCTGTCAAATGGTTAAAGACACACAGGTCAAGATGTCTCTCATTTTTCCAATCAGACTCTCCAATACCCTAATTTAGTTACTTTGAAATGAACAACACCTGCGTTAGCTTTCATAGGCTGGTAATTCTACAGGACCAAGTCTGGGTTCACTTCAATGATACGGAGATCTAGCGCTAGACCTAGTTTGGGTATGTGGGAAAAGGTTCAGTGCCTAATCCACCCTGAGATGGCGGAGGTACAGTGCTTATAGACCAATGATTGCAGTGGGTAACTAAGGCCAGACCAGACCAAAATAAATGTGATTTTACCGTACACACATCCACAGACAAAACAAAATCATGTTTTGGCAATTTTTCAGCTTGTTCTCACCATTCTTCTCTTACCGCTTCTTCCTACAATTGCAATCTACACAGTCTCAGGCTGGTCATTTAACCGCAATCTATCCTATTCTCCTAATAGTACCATGACAGCAATCTGCCCAGAGTTAGAATGGTCACATGACCGCAATCCGCTGGTCACAATAGGAATCTGCCCATCCTTTTTAGTCATATAATCACAAAGTGTTTCATTCTTCACATAGTCACATGATGAGAATCTGCCCTATTATCCAGTCACATGATGCCAATCTGCCAATTCTTTACATAGTCACATGACCACAATATGGCCAATCTCCGAATGGTCACTTCACTGCAATCAATCCTGACCTCTAAATGGTCACATCAAAGCAATCTGCCCAGTGACAAAATGGTCTAACTACAATAAGGCCAGTGTTTAACATGACCACCTCTAAAAAAATCAATCTGCCCACTGTTGGAATGGTTTCATGACCATTTTACCATTCTCACAATGATCACATAAACACAATATGGCCAGTCTCAGAATAACATAAACACAATATAGCCAGTGCCAGAATGATAACGGAAACACAATACGGCCAGTGTCAGAATGATCACATAAACACAATATAGCCAGTGTCAGAATAACATAAACACAATATGGCCAGTGTCAGAATAACAAACACAATATGGCCAGTGTCAGAATAACAAACACAATATGGCCAGTGTCAGAATGATCACATAAAAACAATACGGCCGGTCTCATCATGATAACAAAAACACAATACGGCCAGTCTTAGAATTATCTGGTTTCTGAGCTCGTAAGCACAATATGGCCGGTGTCAGAATGATAATGTAAACACAATATGGCCAGTCTCAGAATGAGTTCGTAAACACAATATGGCCAGTGTCAGAATGATAATGTAAACACAATATGGCCAGTCTCAGAATGAGTTCGTAAACACAATATGGCCAGTGTCAGAATGATAACGGAAACACAATACGGCCTGTCTCAAAACGATGACGTAAACACAATATGGCCAGTGTCAGAGTGACCACATTACCCAACCGGTGTAAGAACCACTTAACAACACTGGCCATTGTTAGAATAAACATATGATCACAATATAGCCAGTGCTAAATGATCACATAAACACAGTATTGGCAGTGTTATAATAATCACATAAACACAATATGGCCAGTCTCAGAATGGTCACACGATCACAACATGGCCAGTCTTAATAATCACAAAGGCAGTATGGCCAATGTTCTAGTAATCACATAAACACAATATGGCCAGTGCTAGAATAATCACAAACGCAATATGGCCAGTGCTAGAATAATCACAAACGCAATATGGCCAGTGTTAGAATAATCACATGAATGCAATCCTCCCTCGTCTCAGATTGTTCTAATAACAGCAGTCTCTGTATGAGAACAGTCATATGACAGAATCTGCTACAATTGTGACATTAAATGCTTGAGCACATATCCCTGTTGGTTATCAGATGACTTGTTTATCACAATACTGCACATTGTTCTGTAGCCCAGATTCATGGACCAACAATTGGTACATGATTTCCTGGTAGCTACTCTTACTAAGACCACGTACCATTTAACGCCTGTTCCGTGACGTATCTATGAAATACACGTGGTATTCTGAAATCATGGTCTGTAAAACTGGACACAGCAAACAAAAAAAGCCTCACACTAGTAAATAATCTAGTAGTAGTTTGTATTTCTGTCGCTGATACCCCTTTTATAGACTGGCTTCCACATCTGTTTTTGTTACTCAGCCTGTTCATTTTTAAGTCATCTGGAATTAATTCTGTTGGGTTTTTTGTTTTGTCAGCAAAGTGCCATCAGGTCTCTTATTATTTATATACAGATTTGTTTTGAGTGGTATTCCCTAAATCCAATTAAGAAAACACCCTCTGTGTAAGATTAACAATGTACATACTGGGGACGAGAAATTGTAGAATGGAACGTTTTAGCAATACACAAATACTGTTCGCTCCAATATAAAACCTTCTATCCCAGTAAATGTCATGAAGCCAATTAAATCGTAATCTTAAACATCTGCCATTCTGTAGCAACTGACGACTTTGTGAATTACGGGCACTAAACACAGTTAGCTGATAATTCTACAAATATCAACGTGGCATTTACCAGAAGAACTCGGCAACGGAGTATGGCAGAATGCCTCTACTGAGCAGTGGTTACGGCAGACGTCAACGGCAAGTCAACACGGTCAAACTTGGGGAAATGATGTGGATGTTGTAGTAATACTTTATCACTTCGTACAGACACGTCCCACTGCTGTAGATTATGGACCTGTAGTCAGAATCCTCAAAACCAAGCAAGTGTATCAGTTTATTTCTAGACTATAAATCTGCAAAAATGCCTTCGAAACCTACTGCTTCATTTTCTTTTTGCATTGTAAGTTTGCAGACAAGGTCATCCTTAACCTACAGTATCAGTTTATGCCTAGATTGTAAACTTGCACGCACAGCCCTCAAAACCAACAAACTGGATCAATTTATTTATCAATAATAAGCTTGAAGACTTAAAATCTAAATGTTAGGATTGTATTGATGATGCTCAAAGCTTACGGTACCGGTTTATAAACTTGCACGCTGAGCCCTCAATATTTCAGTTTTTAAAACCTACTCAGTTTTTAAAACTCTAGTCTGCATGCTGAGCCCTGAAAACCTATGGATCATTTATAAATATTGTATAGATTGTAAATCTGCAAGCAGTCCATTGATAACCTACATTAGTTATAAGCGTGCTGGCAAGGTCATCAAAGTCGAAAAGCTTGTAGAATTTTTTTTCCCCAAAACTATACACTCAAATGCAGAGTAATCAATAATTACTGAATCAATTTTGATTGTAAGGTTTCAGGTAGGGCCCTTATAATTATTATACAGGCTTATCTGTAGATTGTAAGCTTGCAAGCAAATTTCTCAGACTTGCTAGTTTGGTTTGTTGCTTTTATCTAATTAAAGGTCCACCGCAGTCAGCCAGACCACTTCATCTCAATGAAATGGTCTTACATGGTTACATAGTTTGAAAAGAGACATCAAGTTTAGCTTTGAAGAGGTCCTGTCATTTTTTGCTGCGCATGTATTGCCGTCCCCAATGCTTCTCAGTGAGAAGCATTGGATTGAACAAGATCACGTGTGATGTCAGCAGAGATGCTGTTGACAGAAGCAGAACTGGAGGCTGCTGCAAAGAAGTCTCTGCACTGGAAACAAGGTGAATAATCTATATTAAGATTAACCAGTACTGATTAAAGGTGAATGGCGATCACATTGATAGAAGGGGACTATAGGTTCCCTTTAAAGACTTTTAATACTCTTCAATATAACATCTCAAACTCTACAAAATCTGTTGGTGCTCTAGAATATACAGAGAACACAGCCAAGATCTCATGCCAGGTACCCCACACTGCATTAGGAAAAGGAACTAATGGACAAGGTGGTGTTACTAGAAAATACCCAAAATGCTGGGTGGACAATGTCAGTGAATTTTGCTTTGAACCTGTAAATCTGGCAGAATTTTTTTGCAACAGAGAAAAAGGTAACAAAACCTTCATTGCAGTTGAGCAGAACCCCGATTTTGCTAGTGTTGTGTGCAGGAAGATCCGTTTGTTTATTGTTATGCCAGGCTTGCAATTTCCCGTTAAACCACTCAATGCACCAGGAGGCTTTGCTGCGCCCTAGACGGCTCTCGACCCCTGTACGGGCGATGCTCTCGTAGGCTACACCTATGCCACTGAAGTTGCCACCTTGGAGTTCTATCTCCCAGTAGTGGAGGCCGTTTGAAAAGCCAGTCGAGCACAGAGCCTGAGAGCAATGTATGAATCTTTGGGGGTTATCTGGGTAATCTTGGGGTCTATCACTAATGGTCAGCTTGGTATTTTGGTTGGATAGTAAAACCCTTTTGTGAACAGTATTGATGTCCACTTGAAGACGCACAGCATCTATGGAAAAGAAAAAAAGAACAGAATAATAATAATGCTAAGAGCCTTATTTTACCCCTCTTTCTTCACTCTGTTCATCTCATTGAATTGGTTATAGTGCATGGTGTACCCCTGGCACTGTACCTCCAGTCAGTGTTGAAACCATTTTTGAACAGTTTAACACTGAATAAGGGTTCCAGGCTACCCATAGCCCCACCTCTACTGGGGGTGTGGTTAAGGTAGAAATTACACACGTCCTCATAAGCCATACCAATTCATACCTGCAATGGATGCTGTGATAGGCTAAAAACAGTCAGCTGACTCTCTCAGGCAATCACAGCCAACCATTGCTGCTCAGGCTAGTGTTTTTTAATTAGACCAAGCAGTACAGAGGGCATGATGGGCTGCTGGGTCTCTTGTTTAGCATTAAACCATTAACAGGGTTAATAACTAATGTGAGAAGATTTAAGACTTGAGAATATATATGTCAGCTACTTTTAACTTAAATTTGAAATTAACCTTTAATTCTTAATTTAGTGAATAACCCTGATAAAACTGTTTAATGCTGACTGGAAGCATGGCGCCAGGGGACTCCAGACACTATAACCACTTCAAGGAGATGAAGCAGCTACTGTGCCTACGCTGTCCCTTTAACAGATAAAAACTAAATATAAGCAGCTGGATACGGGGTCAAATAAATACAATTTATTTAGCAGCTAACTACTAACTAACTTGAATAATTATTTTACACAGACATGGGTGACATGGTGAAATTAAGTATATAATGAAATTTAAAAAAAAGAATAATAATAAAACAATTCATTGTTAATACCCCAGAATTTCCAGCTGGTGAATAATAAGCACCATCTAGTGTTATAGATAAATTATACTTACATTGCAGGAGTTCTTCTCTCGTTGGAATGACTGGACCTGGTGATGTTTTCGCTACAGCTTCTACTTGTGCTGTTGCCGAAGCTGTTGCCGAAGCTGTTGCCGAAGCCGAAGCCGCTGCCACTGCAGGAGTCTTTTTATTCCTCGCTTGGGAAAAAATAAGGTATATTTTAATATAAAAAATACTATTTAATTAAACACAAAAACTCATCAACTGAACGGGTCATGTTTTACATGTTTACAACAGCAGAAGATCTTTTTAGTTAAAACAGGAATTACAAAGGTCAAACAAGAGAATTTCAAATTCCACGCCTAAATGCCTAAATGGTCGAGCTGTGAAAAAAATTTCATATTTGGAAATTTTTGTCCATAACAAATATTTCCAGTTGAATAGCCTTGTGAGTAAGGAATAGGCCAAATCTCCATTTAAATTGAAGAACATTTGGCAGTCCTGGTTTCCAAACGTGGGGTTATCTATATATTTAAAGGGATAGTCCTTATTCCTAACCCATTAAGTACCATTGACAGTCAGTATAATCATACAAATTTATCTGTTAGAGGCCTGGAACTCTCTAGGAATTTAGCATTGCTCTGTCCTACTATAAGGCACTGAAACTGGCTACGGTCATAGGTGGCCTAAAAGGTAGCGTAAAAATAGCCCACTAAATACAGGGTTTGTGTCTGTATTTTGTAAGACTTTGTTGGGTATTTTTTTGTCAGTCTTTATTGGTTGTTTTTAACATTAATTCCTCTGGTATTGATCCAGTGACAATCACTTGCAATAGATACATCTTAACAAAAGACTTAAATCACTTAAAAAGTTAAAATCACTTTTTTAATATTTTGTTTATTGCCCTAGCCACACATCCCTGCATGTGACTTGCACAGCCTTCCTAAACACTTCCTGTAAAGAGTCATCTAATGTTTAGACTTCCTTTATTGCACAGTCTGTTTCATTTATATTTTCTTGTTTCCTGCTCTGTTAATAGCCTACATGAGCTGCCTGTGTGTGATTAAAATTCAATTAACAGAGCAGATTATAGAAACTTCTAAAGTAAACACACTGTGATGCAAGACTTGATTGATAAATTAACTTTTTTTATTTTTATGGAGGCTGTGTGTCACAGCCAGGGAGGTGTGGCTAGGGCTGCACAAACACAAACAAAAGCAAATGTGATTTAAATCCTATATGCCAGAGAATTGAGAAATGAGACTACAGGAGCATGATCTAGCATGATCTATACACCAAAACTGTTTCACTAAGACAAAGTTGTTTTGGTGGTTAGAGTGCTCCTCTAATAGTGGAACCAAAATATTGTCAAACCAGTCAGCTACCATTTTGCATTGCTTTTCAAACACAACAATATGTGATGATATACCACAACAACCATTGTTTATGACCTACGTTTTTTAGGTTTCTTCTCATGTTCAGGTTTCTTGGGCCTTAGAGGTTCATATTTCCTTTCTGCAAATTCATCTAGAAAGTAATAAGAGAATTTGATGACCTAGATAACCAAGAATGGCTACCAATTATCATCAGTAGCCAACAATAGTACACACATAGCAGCAGAGGTGTGGGAATATTAACATACCATAATAACTACTGAACTACAAATTAGCAAACTGTAGGCTAAAATAGCTCAGCTGTGACTATAGCAGAGTTGGAGATTTTCTCAAAATCAGCTATTTCTCCCTACATTCCGCCATTTGGATTTCAGCTCACTACAATTATATGCCTTTAATAAAACCTTGTGCCTTGTAGTGAGGTATTTGCAGTGGGTTGGTAGGTTACCATTTGCAGGGGTATTTATGAACAGGGCTGTGTTTGGCGTGTGCTGGCTCTGCCCCTGGTCTGCCTGCTTGGCTGACATCATCAGAAGTGATTCTCTAAGCCATAGGGTTGGTTGAGACTGTCAAGAAGGCAGATCAGGGGCAGAGCCAGCACACGCCAAACACAGCCCTGGAATTGAATCAATGAATCTCAATGAAATGGCAGTCACACTGTGCAGCACCGTCCCAGGAAGCACCTCTAGCAGCTACCTGAGGAGTGTCCAGTGGAGTTATCACTAGGCTGTAATGTACACATTGCATTTTCTCTGAAAAGACAGTGTTTACAGCAAAAGGCCTGAAGGGAAGGATTCTACTCACTAAAACAAATTCAATAAGCTGTAGTTGTTCTGGTGACTATAGTGTCCATTTAACTGAAAGCAGTTAAGTAATCACTAGTGATTAGTGATGTGGTATTTTGTAAGAATTGACACACTTAGTATGTGTAATCATATTTTGTAAAAAAAAAACAAAAAAACAAATCTGATCATGAAAGTAGACTTTATATTATTTTATAGGCATTAGAGATGGTTTAGCAAGATGTGCATTATATGCCATTTTGCAATTATTTTGAGAATTAATATGATGTTTAATAAATAACTTATATCACTTACGTTGCTTGAATTCACCTTCCCTGCTTTGTGGTTCCCTTGGCACTGAAGGAAGACGATTCTTTTGTGGTATTTCACCTGAAGGAACAATGACCACCAGATCAGAGTCAGTAACTCATCACTCTTTTATTAGAAGAAAAGACTTATTTTACCGATCATGTTTGCAAGTGAAAGAGTTGTATTAAAGAGAGGGATGGCAAATTAATAGACTTTGCTGGGTACACATTGATAGACTTTTGCACAAATCCCATTTATCTGTGCCAAACAATCAAATGCCTGTTAATCGATGGATGAACAAATTGATTCATTTTTTTAAACCACAAACATATAAATTTTTTAAAGTAGTGATTTGCAGCCATTTGATGCAGTGAGATTTGTAACCAAACTGTTCCGAATGGATTGCAGTGCTGCTGGGAAATTAATTTGAAAATAGCTCAAATAGCAAAATTGAATCGAATTCCAAAAGAAATTGTAGTCGAATGTAACCGAATGTCACCGCTACCGGAAAAAAAAAAGATACCACTAATGTAACAGCCAGAATTGGGGGGAGGATTTAGTGTTGGGGAGCTGCTTAGATTGTGAGGGGTGTTTGGAGTAGCAGAAGAGTGGGTAAGGATTAGAGGCTTAGAGTTTAAGATGCAATTTCTCCAGGCCTATATCATCTCTGGAATTGGGACAATTTAGTTGACTGTCAATATTCAAATCACCCGGATTATACAGAGATCCAAAGACAAACAAACCAAAGACCTAATTCGGTTGAAATAACCACATGTGTCTTTTGTGAAGAGCCACACGTTTAAAAACAGCCGAATCGTGACAACCAAGCTCCATTCGACTGTTGTTCAGCTGCCATTCAGTGTTTAGAGATCAGACTCCTGTGTGCTTATGTCAATCCCAGGACAAATTGCCAAGGACAAATTTTGTCACAGTAAGATGCATATTGTATAATCTGTATCCTTGATATAGAAGTATTACGATGTTTAATAAATCACTTATTTCACTTACGTTGCTTGAATTCACTTTCCCTGCCTCGTGGGTCCCTTGGCACTAAAGGAGGACAATTCTGTTCTGGAATTTCACCTGAAGGAACAATGACCACCTGATCAATCACTAAATCTTATTCTTTTATTAGTAAAAAATACTTATTATACCGGAAAATTATTAGACTATACCCGGTACAAATTAATAGACTTGAGCCCATATCCCGTTCAACTGTGTCGAACAATCAAATGCCTGTTAATCGATGCAGATTATTAGATGCAGATTATTTACAATGTGTTGTACCTCACCTGGATGTTCAACTTTGTTTTTTAGGATTTCTTTCAGTGAGACGGTATTTCTATAGATTTGTTGCAGAAGGTTTTCGTCAAACTCAATATTTGGTTTGAACGGATCTTTGGATGTTGTGTCTTGTAGTTTTGCTGCACTCTGTGTAATAAAACAATCCAAGATAAATTAATTAATAAATATATCTAAAAAGTCAGCGGGCGTTTGGTTTAAGTGATCATTGTGCAGGGTTACAATGTTGTGCCATCCTACTGATGTTGGCATTAGAAAGGATTAGGCTAGTTTCAACATGACCTCAGTGTTACTCTTGAAGTTGGGCACTCACACATCATTCAATAAACACAGGTTATTACATGTACTTTGACATAATGTGCGTTTCTGAATATATAACTATACTCTAACTGTTACAATGCAAAATATCAAATTCAATTAATTATTAAAATAATTCACCTTGAGAAACTCCAGGTCATCATCCTGCTGCAATAGAGACTCGACTTTTGCCTTAAACGTTTCAAATTCTCGTTGTTTTTTACTCAAGATATTATAAGTGAATAGAAATTTATTTTTAACTTTCTTTTCTTCCTCTTCGATTTTGTTCATGGCTTTTCTTTGTTCTAGTTGAATCAACGCTTTGATTTCATCAAATTCTCCTTCCAAAAGATCCTTCTTTCTCTTTGTGGTATCCTAGGATAATTACATGTTAAATTAAATTACAGAACTCCTTTTCCCCTTAAGCAAATAGCGCTAATGACAATCTAATAGCTCAATGGCAGTAGATACAGCGCTGGTTGCCAAACCTCCCATATTACTCCCGGAAATACAATTCTCAGGAAACTCACATTTTCTAGAGCAATATCTTTGCTCTGATTTGAAAAGCTTGATACTGCTTTGCATTACATGTTCAATCTGAACATCCATTGCTCGGGTCCAAATAAGCTTTCCTGAAGCTCTGTGACAGGTGAGCTTACACTTAAAATGGTAATTGGAGTGATATTAAAAATATTAAATATGGATAGGGATTTGGGATAGTGCACAAGTAACTATTTTCTTTGGTTTTTAATAGTGTATATCAGGATAAAAGTTATACGATGTATATAACAGAGTATTTAATATGTCAGCTTATCAGGATACCCACGAAAATGTGAAACAAGGAGCCACACTTACAATTTACCATTCAACCATTCACAGTTTTTATATTTAAATGTGTACACAGAATCTATCAACAGTTACAGCCAAGTTCCATGGGGGCAATTTTATTTTGTTTCTCTCTTTCTATATTATGTTTAGCCTATATACTCAACAATATTACACCGAATGCATCCCCTTTTGTCCCTTTCTATATGCTGACCGCAAGAAGAGTGCTGCGAATGTGGCGAAATTAGCATAAAACACATTTGGTGGTTAAACTGCAAAGGTTTTTTGTTAAAATGCGAGTTGTTGGGAATTTGAAGAGAATTTAAAATGTTAGCCCCAAAGAGTCAAACCAAAATCAGACAAAAAAACAATTAAGGCTAAAAATAGCTGATCTGGAAAAATTTAAAAACAATTCCATTATAGTCACCGCTGCAGTTCGTAATTTAATGATTTCATTATTCATTAACGCAGTCCCCATTTTGGAGTCCTGCCCCTCCGGCCCAAAGTAATCGAACTGGTAGTAAAGCTGACTTAGAGAAAATTTCCAAATTGACTATTTTGGCCTAAAAGGTTAAATTCCCTTTAAATTGGCAACAATTCACACTTTCGACAATGACCCTGTATGAGTTGTATTTTTTTCGGTTTTCTTCTTTTCTATGTGTCATGGTTATGGGGAAACAAAAATAAAACCACATGAACCTTGTTTTAATAAACATTCAAAACTCTTTACATATGAACTTTTACGCTGTGTGCATTTTATGGCTGCTCGATATATATCATTCCAATGCTAAAACATCAGATCCCTAAACTCACCATCACTTTTTTCTCTGCGTTCTTAACACCGTCGGACACATTTGAAACTTTGGCTATTTTCTCCGTTAACGTTCGCAGCAATTTTTTAATTTCCAACTGTTAAGTAAGAGATTGGATGTCGATGAATAACACTGATCACGTTTTTAAAAAACAACAACATATTCGTCAAACAGTTTATACTTTTTCATGTTTAATGGTAGAAACGGACCTTGAAACCAGCAACCATACCAGTGCTGTCTAACTTTGCACTCCAAATAGTTGTAAACTACATTTCCCATGATGCTCTATCAGGGTTGGTTGTCTATTTGGTATTCTCAAATGTACATACAGGGCGATTCTGCCACGTATCGACAATTTCATTCTGTTCTGTTTGAGATAGCTGAATGGGTGCTTTTATGGCCCATATTTGTTTGGCTGTAACCTCCTATTCCTGCTCTCCATATTGTGCAGACTGCAATCACCATCATACTCAGTTGGGCGCTTCCTGGTGGTTGTTGCAATCCACAGTACTGTGGAATTCCAATCATACTTAGCCTAACCCTGATATCTAACTCCAACTCCCAAAATCCTTTTCCAAACTCTAACCCTGTATCCCGTAACTCTTAGACATATTGTAGACGTAATGTCAAAACCATAACGCAGTAAGCTCTACCATTACTTCCAGCCTAACTTCTAAATGAGACCGAATTCAGCACACTCTTAAATCTATGAATGCCAGCTACCATCATTCTCAGCCAGTCTCCGTATGGCTTGGAAGGAAATCAGCTGCACTTAAAGGGTTATTACAGGCAACATGACCATTTCAGTGATTTGAAGTGGTCATGGTACCTGGAGTTTATAGGTGCAGAGTTTAGCCATGAAACGATGCACATACACAGTTTAACCCCTGTCACTGGAGCATCATTATCCAGCCCGTTACATGGGGCTGTGCTCTGTGCCCAGAAACGCACTCATTAACAGAGAGGGGGGAGCATGATGCTGTGAGCCAATGAAAGGTTGTCTAGATTGACATTCTGCAGCTCTGCAAGAACTGGGTGCACATCAAACTCCATTAAGGACCCTACGTGTCTGGGGCACCAGGACACGTCTGGCATCATAAACAGGACAGGATTAACAATAAGTTGACACCAGGCAGCCCCCTATGGCCCAGAACTATGAATTTACTTGGTCCCATTAACCATCCGTATGTGAAGCATGAACGGGTAACCTGCTTAGGACCTGTGGGATCTTAATCCTTCTTTGTTCATAACCACTAAAGCGGGCTGTATGATGCTTGGAGTGACCTTTTAAGTAGCCGATTAATAGAAAACCTAGCCCACTCTGCCAGTGGTGTATAGATGCTACCATTTATCAAGTGCCACCTGCTGGAGTGTAATGATAATTGCAGGTAACAATCTGTAGCCCTAACAGAAGTAATAAAACACTAACATGTCTCTACCCTGAAATGAAACCAGAAACACGTTACATGCTACTGTTATGACTTATTTGGACGTTCCAAATAGATATTATAAACCTTTTTTATTTTTTAAAGAAATGTTCAAATACTCTAAAAAGCTCAAAACAAGTATAAAAGAAAACTAAATATATATGTATAAAAATAAAAAATGTTTAAAAATGAATTGAACTGCAATGTCATCTAAATGTTGTTCTACAGAAAAGGAGCTAACAGTAATGCAGAGACACACATTAATACTCTGCAGCAAACAAACAGGTATTGATCACAACAGCATAGATCAAATAAGTGTCCAATACACAGCCTCATAACTTGGCAGCTTCTCAGAGGGAGATAGAGAGGATAAAGCAAAGAATGCCCCAAAATGTAACAATAGTCTATTAGTTACACTAGTCATTCATTTAACAAAAACAGACTAACATGCAAATCTAGCTAGTGCTAGTATTAAAATAAAGTATAGCACATGATATAAATCCTTACACTGCCAATCTAAACACTCTGAGGTAGGGGACGGGGGGGAGGTGATACACTGTGAGGTAAGGGGGGGTGACATACTGTGAGGTAGGTGAGGTGATACACTGTGAGGTAAGGAAGGTGACATACTGTGAGGTAATATACTGTAAGGTAAAGGGGTGACATACTGTGAGGTAGGGATGGTGATACAATGTGAGGTAAGGAAGGTGACATACTGCGAGGTAGTAATGGTGATACACTGTGAGGTAATGAGGGTGACATACTGTGAGGTAGGGGAGGTAATACGCTGTGAGGTAAGGAGGGTGACATACTGTGAGGTAGGTGAGGTGATACACTGTGAGGTAAGGAGGGTGACATACTGTTAGGTAGGGGAGGTAATACACTGTAAGGTAAGGGGGTGACATACTGTGAGGTAGGTGAGGTGATACACTGGGAGGTAAGGAGGGTGACATACTGTGAGGTAGGGAGGTGATACACTGTAAGGTAAGGGGGTGACACTGTGAGGTAGGGAGGGTTATACACTGGGAGGTAAGGAGGCTGACATACTGTGAGGTAGGTGAGGTGATACACTGGGAGGTAAAGAGGGTGACATACTGTGAGGTAGGTGAGGTAATACACTGTGAGGTAATGAGGGTGACATACTGTGAGGTAGGTGAGGTGATACACAGTTAGGTAAGGGGGTGACATACTGTGAGGTAGGGAAGGTGATACACTGTAAGGTAAGGAGGGTGACATACTGTGAGGTAGGTGAGGTGATACACTGTGAGGTAAGGAGGGTGACATACTGTTAGGGGTAGGGAGGCACACTGTAAGGTAAGGTGACATAATGTGAGGTGGTGAGGGGCATGCCACTGAGGTAAGGAGGGTGACATACTGTGAGGTAGGTGAGGTGATACACTGGGAGGTAAGGAGGGTGACATACTGTGAGGTAGGGAGGTGATACACTGTAAGGTAAGGGGGTGACACTGTGAGGTAGGGAGGGTTATATACTGGGAGGTAAGGAGGGTGACATACTGTGAGGTAGGTGAGGTGATACACTGGGAGGTAAGGAGGGTGACATACTGTGAGGTAGGTGAGGTAATACACTGTGAGGTAATGAGGGTGACATACTGTGAGGTAGGTGAGGTGATACACAGTTAGGTAAGGGGGTGACATACTGTGAGGTAGGGAAGGTGATACACTGTAAGGTAATGAGGGTGACATACTGTGAGGTAGGTGAGGTGATACACTGGGAGGTAAGGAGGGTGACATACTGTGAGGTTGGTGAGGTAATACACTGTGAGGTAATGAGGGTGACATACTGTGAGGTAGGTGAGGTGATACACAGTTAGGTAAGGGGGTGACATTCTGTGAGGTAGGGAAGGTGATACACTGTAAGGTAAGGAGGGTGACATACTGTGAGGTAGGTAAGGTGATACACTGGGAGGTAAGGAGGGTGACATACTGTGAGGTAGGTGAGGTTATACACTGTGAGGTAAGGAGAGTGACATACTGTGAGGTAGGTGAGGTGATACACAGTTAGGTAAGGGGGTGACATACTGTGAGGTAGGGAAGGTGATACACTGGAAGGTAAGGAGGGTGACATACTGTGAGGTAGGTGAGGTGATACACTGGAAGGTAAGGAGGGTGACATACTGTGAGGTAGGGAAGGTGATACACTGTAAGGTAAGGATGGTGACATACTGTGAGGTAGGTGAGGTGATACACTGGAAGGTAAGGAGGGTGACATACTGTGAGGTAGGTGAGGTGATACATTGGAAGTTAGAGAAGACCTTACCGCCTTCTTGATCTTGCTCTCCTGTAGGCTGTCAGTCCGACATTGCTTGTGGTCGGCCAGACAGTAGCAGCAGATGCTCTTGGAGTGGTCCCAGCAGTGGTAGTCCAGGATCTTGCCATGATCCATGCATTTCCTCATATGGAGGTCTGCCAGGGGCTTCCTGAGTTGGTGGTCCCTGTAAGATGGGATCTCCATGTGGGGCTGAAGATGCTCATAGCAGAAGGAGGCCATGCAGGTCAGGCAGGTCTTGTCAGCTTCCAACTTCATGCAGTGATCACAGAGCACAATCTCTTCCTCAACCCTCTTCTCATCCACAACCTCCTCCACTATCACATCCTCCTTGGGCTCACGGTCAGCCTTGGCCTCCATTATCTTACTGACCAGGTTACTCAGCAAGGTGTTCTTCATCAGGTCTGGCTTCCTGTCAAAGGTGCACCTACACTGGGGACAGCTGTACTCCCTGTTCTCCCCCTTCCAGGTGAGCTCCAGGCACTCAGAGCAGAAGTTGTGCCCACATGGGGTGGACACTGGGGTGGAGAAGTGACAGAGACAGATGGGGCATGTGAGCTCCTCGGCCATGTCCTCTAGAGATTGGGCCATGATGGACATTGTGAAGAAGAATTCTGGTCCCAGCTATTTAACCCTCGGTCTCAGAGGCAGGCACGTGATCTGCAGGAAATGGACCGCCCCTCCCTGAAACTTAGTTTCGTTTCTGTAATGGCTCAAAGTCTGTCTGTTTCTCTCAATGTAAAGCTGATCCCTTATCAACAGGTAAATAGGCAAAACCCACAGGTAGCAAACAGCCCTTGGGAGTTAACCCTTACAGTGCCAGGCTAGTCCATTCCTCTGGGGTTCACAGGGCAGAAAAACAAAAAAACATAGGAGTCATCTGATCTGAATTTACCTCTATAAATAAATATATGCTACAGTGACATAGGCACCAAGAAAAGAACAGAATTAAAAAAAAAAATAATAATAATAATATATATATATATTTATTTAAAAACCAACAAGAAGGAAGGCTGCTCTCCGGACTTTAAAACAAAAAAGTTTATTCAAATAATATTAAAAAACCACGACCAACGTTTCGGTCCCCGGTCCCGAACGGGGACCGAAACGTTGGTCGTGGTTTTTTAATATTATTTGAATAAACTTTTTTGTTTTAAAGTCCGGAGAGCAGCCTTCCTTCTTGTTGGTTTTTATATATCTTGGAGCTCTTGTGGTGCGCCCGGCATTGGACTATCTTGTAAGCGTGAGTGCAGGGGATACATCTATTTTTATATATTTATTTATATATATATATATATGAGAAACAGGGGTGTGGCGAAACCAACCTCGCCACTATACACTGGAGAAGCCTGGTTGCTCACCTGCTGCCTTTGGACTATGGCCCCATGTTAAAAGACATCTTTTTTCCCTGCAGAAAAGACTTATTCGTGATTTTTTGCCGGTAACCGCACAAATGAATAGACCACCTGGGAGCTGGAGTGTGCCGGCAATTAACCTCCCTGAAGCTGCGGTTAACCGCAGCTTAATTGACGAATGCTGGGTGGCCGCCATTCGTATAACGAACACGAGGTCGCGGCCATTTTAAACATGCGAATGCACAGCGGTGTTTGACGCTTAATTCATGGAACTGAAATCAGACACAGTTTTGCGCGAACACCGCTGAAGCCACCGACCTCCCTTCTTGTTCGGTGAAAGTGCACGAACGGCCCGGTGTTCGGTAGTTTTGTTTGAGTGTGTTGTGCCCCAGATAGGAGCCCATTCACATGAAACTGACTGTGTAAAGACTTTGGCTCCATGGCAATTAAACTGTATTCGTGTGGTCTGAGCGCCATTCGCTTAATAATGTGCGCTCAGACCTGAGCTATCTGGGGATATGTAGAACGTATATGTTTTATGTACTGAATGTAACTGTAGGTAATTTTATGTCTTTTACTGTTTGTTTTCTGCCATGTGGTTAATGGAGTTTTGCCTCTGTCTTTGGAGATAATTGAATTACTTCCCAATTATCTCCAGAGCAGAGAGGAGGGATTGTGATGCATTGTGGGATGGTTGAAATGTGTAAGTCTGTGATTGGTCCTTTTACCCTTTGTGTCCCAGTCTCCCATTTGGTCCCCTAGGGGAGTGTCCACCAGGTGGGAGACCTGCATAAAAGCCGGGCAGTTAGCCCCAGTAAATCAGTTCCTGCTTAACCCTCAAAGTGAAGTGTCGTCTCATTATTGGGGGAGGATTTACTGTATGCTGTTAGAGACTGATTGCCAGGAGTGTAAGCCGCTTGGGGGCTTTTCCTGTTCGTCTGCTAACAGCTATTCGTGTGTCTCCAGTTCGGGAGTTTTGGGTATTCCCTTGGTATGCAGTTCGGGAGTTTCGAGTATTCCCTTGGTTGCAGTTCGGGAGTTGGTGAATTCGTGGGTTTGCAGTTCAGGAGATTGGTGCTTGCAGTAGCTGTCGGTGCAGCTGAAAAAGGGGAATATCGCCTAAACGGTTTTTAACCTCTTGTGAGCAAAACGGTCCGTTACAAGGGGGATGTTTTTTATTTATATATAGTGCGAAACTACTCCTTGTATGCAGTAATTTTGTTTTTTCTTCATTCGGTAGATAAAACTACCGAACACCGACCACCCCCTTGGCTCATTAACTTCAAAGAAGACCGCAAATTAAGGGCTCTCCATGAGTGGTCGCCGTTCGTATAGCTGAAAGCCACGTGCGGGAGAAAACGGAGGCCATCTTGGTCGCATGAAAGGAGACAGCGGGACTTGGTCATCGAGTGTCTGGAACTAAAATGGGACACTCGACTTCCCGAACGCCAGACAACTTCGCGAACACCTGCTTCTTTTATCTGACCAGCCAGGAGAGCCCGATTCAGTAGGTTTGTTTCCACAAACTAAGGGAACAAACGCTACCTATGGGCCAGGGGATCTGTTCGTGGATTTGTTTGGTGTTTAGACTTCCCGAAAGAGGCCAAATTAATACTTCCATAGAACTCCCGAACTGATCTGGCTGATTTTTGAGTATGTTGGTCCCCCAGATCAGGGCTAACAGGGGATATGACTTTTGTGGGGTTTTCATGGGGTTGGGGCACATTCTGTGTTTTGTGGAAATGTGTGTTTTTTGGTTTTGAGATAATTGAGTTTATTATAGTGCTTGACTCAATTATCTCCCAGGCAAAGGGGGAAGGACTATATTATTTTATGTAGGAGTGTCCTGGACCTGAGAGCCAATGTCAGTGCAGAATGTATTTTGTCATTGTCCCCTCTCAGTGGGGAATGCCCCTGGAATATGGCACCGTAAACCCTGTACATTTGTAACTGCATATAAAACTCACTCCTGTTGTACCCTTCATCTAGTCTAGGCTGATGTTTGGGTATCCGTCTGATTTGCTTGGTGAATATAGTTGGATGCTGTATTTCGTTTGGAGAACGTTCGAATCAACACCTGAACTGCGAGCTATAATCACTCAGCCTCTAGCAGTTCGTGAGGAAACAGACGAAAGGGTATCTGAAATACCAGCGTTCGTTACACATATATATATATATATATACACACACACACGAGCCAATAACTTTTTTATTAAAGAACCAATTTTAATGATGTTACATACAATGAATGATTAACGTATGGAGATTTGTTTTTATTAGTTAAGGAACATCTTATAAATAAGCTCCATTTGTTGCCTCGTCGGACTCTTTCGCTTGCATTGTTCATAACATTAATTAATGTTTGAGGCTCTTGTGCTCCAATTTCTGCACAGATATTCTCGTAGCTGTTTGAGTACGCGGTTTGTTCACATACACCCCCTCCATCAGGTATCCCCACAGGAAGTAAACGGGAGCTGAAAGGTGGGGCGAACATGACGGCCAATGCATCTGGGAGTTTCTTGCTCCCTGAACAGTTGTCTCAGTTTTGAAAATAAAATTTCACTTGTTGTTCCTTCGTGAAATTACTGACACCATGATGGCTCTCCCAAGACACCGTTATAATATATACGTGCAACAAATAAATTGAACTACTGACAAATAAGTATTTACCTGTTAAATCCTACTTTGATTTGGCCCACCCAGTATATATACATATATTTGAATTCTCTTGGGAGCATTTGCATTCACAGAATAAAAAAACAAAACTCCTGTTACCACAACAAACAATCTATAAATAGCTATCTAAAACCTGTAATCAACCTGTTCTACTGCTTTATAGACAGAAAGCCCATTTGCTACACAAATCAGACATTTTTTTTTACATTCTTTATTTTTGCACAGTTCACCTTCACAGAATATGACAATAAGCATATCCCCGTAGATTGCATACGTTACAGTACATATCAGCGGTATATGAGGGCTCAAAAAAATAGAAGTGAATTGGGTTTTTCTAGATTTAGGAATTAAATGTTAATGTGAAAAGTCTCGGAACAGAGTCTCTAACTCACACATGGGTGTGGGGGCTTTACGTCTGTAACAAAAAATTGAGGCGAACATATTTTGTGGTACACCTTGGGATTATTGCATCAGGTTTATTAAAATGGGGAATTTTGTCAGCCCTTTTACACTTACCTTGGCAGTCCGCCGATCTGCCGATGCCAGTATTCGGTGGACCGCCACTCCCACGCAGCATGAGACTTCATTCCGCCTCAGGGACGCCGGCCGCTGTGCACCCGCCCCTTTTTATGACGCAGCGCACGCGTGCCGGCGTCATGGCATCGGAAGAGCTCTATTCAAAAGAGCTCGTCACACATGTACCTTTTGGGGGTTTGGCTATGCTAACCACACCCCCAACCATATAAAAGCCCAGTCTGCCCAAAGCACAGTGCCCTGTTGTGGTTCCTAGTGTTCCTTGTGTCCCTATAGCACGTTCATGTGTCCCTTCTTGGTATATATTTGGTTTTGACCTGGCTTCCTCTAGACTATTGTTTTCTGGCTCCCGTGACTCGGCTTTGTTTCTCGTACTTGTGTATTTCTGCATTCCCTTGACCATGGCTTGTTCTGACGTTCCTTCAAGTTTATTCTTTATTCCGGCCATTCTAAGGACCGGTATAGGGATTTTCTTTCTCGATTTATCCTCTCCTGGAGGGTTTTCACTCTGCATGTTGGGTTGTACGTTACAAACGTGAATTGTGGGGAAGATATGGGAGCCAAGTGCGATACCATTGCGCGATAGTGTGCATGCCACAAAAATTCAAATTTGAAAGAAAACTGTCGGCTGTGAGTAAGTAAAAGGGGCGGGGGGAGGGAAAAACTTGAATGAGAACATAAATGTCTTTGCGAGCTGTGAACCCTATGGGCTTCCTTTCGTGTGTAGCCTCAGGTTGTTGTGGCAACATATGGATGAACGGGGCGACCTTGGATGGATCCCAGTTATGAGCTTGTGCTTCAGGTAAGGCTTTGTGAAGCGATAGTTCCCAATATGGCCCCTGCGGCAGTGAGATCCCAGATGGGTAGCTGTATGCCACCTTGGGACATGTAGAGTGTACGGATGAAGTCCATCTGTAGCGGATATTATGCGTTTGCAGGGCCGTGGTGAAAGGGTGAAGAGATCAGATGCCAGAGGAGAGGTCAGTACAAAAGGTGAGTTGCATAGATTCAAAGTGGAGAGGAGATTTCTCCCTAACAGCGTCAGCAACTGCTGCTTTATCTCGGCCTGATTCGAACTGGACCACCCCATTGAATGCTGCTGCAGCAGCCTGTTTATGGGTAAGGCCTTGAAAAGCCTTCGCAGGAGATGAAGCAATTCAACAGCTTCAATTTCCTAGGAAATACCTCTAATCTTGAGGTTGTTATTGTTGCGTGCTGCGTCCTCGGGGGCGGCTATTCACCACTCCTGGGTCCCTAAGATGTGCTGTACCTCCCGTTTTTTCCACCTCTTGGAGCTGACCGGAGAGGCCTGGAGCGTATTCTGCAAGTCAACCCGTAGGCCTTCAGTACAGCCTTAGTGACCAGCGAGGAGTCCATCTGCTGTGGGGCAGTAACAGCCTTCAGCCTCGGTAGCAGGAATTAACCTTTCACATTGGCTGATAGCTCCTCCGAGGAGCCTGAGCAGCCCAGGAGGGAGTACCCAGTAGCACCTCTGGCCTGGCGGAAGAGGTCCCTAATATCACCCCCCAATCTGGGTTTATCCGGGCTTTTTTGGATTTGCGACCCATCTCTGGTTAGGCAAAGCTGGGGCACAATTTTTCCTCAAAAATATTTACAATTTGGCTGTAAATAAGCCACAAAGCTGAGGGAACGCACATCCATTCACGCATTATCTATAATTTTAAAGCGACTATGACTATTTCTTCACCGCTGGACCTTTAGTCCCTGCCTTCGTCTGCCATGCAGTGTGTCCGATCTTGTGCATGCTCAGTCCACCCTGCACCTCGATGATTAATCACAGGGTGAAGTGTCTACAGACTCGTGCTATTGGACGCTGGGGAATGTGGAGAACTAATGAGCATTATGGGGAAATTTCACTTGACTTGTGCTCCACCCATGCCAAGATGACGATAGTACATAAAAAAAACTTTACATTATTTACATTGCTGCGTTAAGCCACCACTAGTGGCTGTCTTCCCAATAGTCACTAGAGACACATCCTCCTCCACACCAAGTAAAACTCAGTCAGATGATATGGAAGCCCTCATAGAAAGGTATTCAAAATAAAGGATCGTATAATGCTTTAGTGTTTTTTTAATCTGGGTTTAACATGTTCTACATCCCATGGCGTGTAAATAAGGAAAACTGTTTCCTACTTACTATAGTTTAATGTTCCTGGTCACTATAGTCGCACTTCGCAGCATTTACTTCACCACTCCTCCCCTCACAGCAGAAAGGACAGGTAATAGAACTCAGAAATTGGTATAAATAGATCCACCCCCTCCCCATCAGGCAAAAGCCAAACAAGTAACCAATATGATATTGTTAAAATATCTGCTCACACAAGTTATTTTACCCCAGAGGCTGCTGGTCACCAACCCTATGGTATTCAAATATAGGGAATATCCTGGAGATTTAAAGCACCAGGTAGGAATTAGGGTTGTGATAACCAAACTTATAAAAGAAGCAAGTCTGGACTAAAACAAGATAAACTCTTGTAAGAAACGAGACACCCATCTGGATATCGAGAATAATAAAATAGATTAGAGGGGAACCTCCTTAAAGCATAAAGACATGGTCTAGAAGTTACAAACATTTTGACATAAAGACAAGTTAATGTCCTTCTCTAATATAGATTAAACACCCAATGGATGGCGCTCTCCAATCAGAACTTTGTCAAAAACATAACTTCCAGATACCAGGCTGGAGCAAGCCATGAAATTCCAGACATTGCTGAATGAAAACAGTCATACCCTGCTATCCAACAGGGAGGAAAAGGCTGAAACCGCCACCGTTCTCTGGAAGTATTTGTTTATTAAAGGACAGAATTCTCACAGCCTCATCTTGCATTGAGAGCTACTTACCTGTAGTTACGGGAAACAGAAAACAATATGTGCCCGTAAGTAAAGGAAGAGCCTAGTACAGAGATAGGAGAGTTTGTAAAACACTGCAACAATGAGTACCGTGAATGTTGAGAAAGTGCCTTAGCTCCTCCGCCGCCATCTTATTCTTATATCAACCAGGTTTGCCCTCTGTGTGACTTTGTGTGCATGAAGGGTTACGTGTATTTTGTGATTTTTGCTCAAAGTAGTTTTATAAGAAACTTTTTTTTTCCATTCAATAATCATAAATGGATATAGGTAAAGTTGCGTTATCACCTTAGGATGAGTGGTCAGAAGTGATTGAACTGACCATAGCATGTTTAGAGTCAACTAATTACAGGGTACTGTGTTTTTATTGCATACTTTAAGATACTGATCTTTTGTTACTATGCTGTTTCTGGCACATAAGCTGTTCTGTTTAACTGTATATAATATGTTTTTCATATAGAGGAAGGGCAGTCTCCTTTGACTCTCTCCTTGTGCACAAGCAATGAAGGCATCTGCTTATTCAACTCGTGTGAAGAACGTTACGTTAATGAGCAATTTCACACAACAGACACAAATATGCAGAATTGACGAAGATATTTGTCTTTGTGAGAAAGTTCAGTCTCTTCATTGGGTAAAGATGATCCTATTGATAAGCCTCTGAAGGGTTCCTTCTATGCATGCGCGCAGGGGGGAGGGTCAGGGAATTTGACTGATTAAAGGGAACAAGATGCAGGCGATTTACATGCCCATTTAATCTGTCTTTCACTAGAAAAATTTACAGATTTTTTTTTCTTCTGATAAGAGCTTGTAGTCTTGTCAGTGTGCCTGACACAAACTTTCCTTTCTCACAACCAGCACCTAAATTCCTTGGGAAGCTGTCACCCCCCTCTCTGACTACCTTAGATTTACAGTGACCTTTGAGTCTAACAGACTATTAGCCTTTACTACTTTAATCTTCTTCTCTGTGGTGCTCCCAACTTGCCCAGTTACAGTCTATAATGAATGCGGTGCCAAGGCTCATCTTCCTGGGCCCTTCCCCTCTCTGTTAGACTCTCACCCAATCTCCACACCTTAAAAAAAAAAAAAAAAATCTTTGCATATCAATTAAACTGTGAATAGCTCTTCCTCCCCACACCCAGATTCTTCTCCTGAAACGGTCATCAAAACACAAAACCCTCAATGAATACAATACTAGCAACCGTTACCTTTTTATCACTACACTCCACTCCCTCTAACACAAGCATGTCAAACTCAAAGTCTGGCACGGGCCACATAAACAAGGTTTAAGTTTATGTGGGCTACACACACACTTACTCACAGACAGACACTTTTCTTTATTGCTCCATACCTTATGGAGCATCTCCCTGCTCCCTTGCGCGGTTTAGTGATGCCAGAATATGACATCATATTCCGGCGCCCGGCTTCACTTCAGTCCCTGGCCGGGTAAGTTTTAGCAGAGTAGGCATCTGCAATGTGGGGAAAGCAGGTGCCTACTCTGCTATAACACTAAGCATGTACTCGCAGCTCGCCGGGCCACTAAGATGGTCCTTGTGGGCCGCGAGTTTGACACGCTTGCTCTTGCATGTAAGCTCATTGAGCAGGGCCATCAATCCATCTGTTCCTGTGCATTAAACTTGTCTGGTTACGTGAATGGATTCAATATTGCCAACGTGTCTGAATAGTTTGCTTTTTTTTTTTTTTACTATTCTAATGATTTAAATAGTCATAAAATCCCAGTGTAATGACATCAAAATCGTCACAATGTAAATTTAACTAAATAGCTAGAGGATGTTTCTGGAGACCCTAGGTCTCTTGTTCTGCCATATAAATTTGCCTATAGTTTGTTGGAGTGGTCCCAGGTCCGATCTAGTTATTCTAATTGGAAGTGCCTGAAACAAAAAACAATATTCTAGACAATACATTCATTTTCACTGAATGAATCCTCTCTATCCAGGATATTGCTTTCTCCGTCCAGTTTTCCATGTCTGTCATTAATGTCCTAATTAACGGGATGTAGTTTTGTTGGTATAATTGTGATGGATCTGCCGTCACGCTTTTGCCTAAATATTTAATGTGGTCTTTCGTTATTCGCAGCTGGTGTGTCTTTCCTATATAAGATATGTCTGCCTCTGACATGCCTATGGGAAGTCCACTAGACTTGTCCATATTTACTCTGTATCCGGTCAGTTCCCCAAACTTCTCCAATATATCCGTTAATGCGGTCATTGATGTTCTTGGAACTAAACCCTATTTCTGCTTGGATACCAAATGTAACTTCCATAAGTTATTTCTGTAAAACTAAAAAAAGTTCACCATTAACCCAGATTTTTACAAAAAATACTTTTATATTACAAGCAAAGATAACAAAAGATAAACACTTTGGATAAGGTTTATACAATGGAACATAAAATGGGAATTGCTTGGATCACATGGTAGAAATACTTTTAAAAATATCTAAATATGGTTTCACAGTTTAATATTAAAATGATCTCCTTCTGTGACGGATCAGAACATACAGAAACCCCTGTAAAAAACATCTGCACATTCCACAATCCTTATTAACAGACTAGTGTATCGAGATTCAATCAGGAATAACCACCTCTATCTCAGCCACATTATCAAGCTGTCCAACCTGGATGACACTGATTGGCTGAGAGCACTTCGCAAACTAGCCCAGCACTCTCAGCCAACCAATGATGTCCACATTGGATGGAACAGACATTGATCAATAGCAAGTGTTAGCAGTCGTGTTGCCTAGAGTGTCCTTTTAATACACGTAAAACAATGAGAAAAGCAAAACCAAGAGGTTGGAAATTAAAATTAGGCATCTAGTTCCTTGGTGGTCAATTTGATGTATTATTAATGTGATGCAATTTTAACCAATGATAACTAACCAGTCCCCCCCCTCTTATTTTGTTGAACTTATTCAATAATTTAGTTAAGAATATACTGTGAATCTGTGCAGATAAGGCGCTTTAATCTATAAAGTACAGTAAACGAGTGAATATGAAAGCTGCTAACACACGATAATGGGGACTCTCCACCCCACTTACAATAAGTATACAAAAGTGCACTATGAAACCAACCGGTGTACAGAGCAAAGTGTGTAGCGCTGATTAAAATTAGCACTTACCCCTAAGGGTTAACAAAGTGATATAGTAAATTCCCTACAAGGGAATAAAATAGACACTATATAGTGTAGTATATTAGAGAAATAGTGGTGTAAATAATCACAATAATGGATCCACTCACATGATACAGAGCCACTTAAGGACCGGCTCTGATCGCTTCCACTTGTGTGTACTTAAAGGTGACACACACCTGTATCATCCGTATCAAATGCAGACCTCAAACAAAGACAAAGAGAGAAAAGCTTCTTTGGTGCAGAGATCCCAAACAAAGTGTATATAGATGAAATGAATTAGGGCTTCTCACCTTGTCCAGAGCCTTGAACTAGGCTCTGAGTAAAAATAGCAGATGTGACAGTATAGGGTGTCACTACCCTCCTTTATAGCAGCATGGACAATTCTTTGAAGATTAAAAATTAACAAGTATTTATTTAAATAAAAATATATAAAATAACAGACCAAATGTACAGTCTTGTTGTCCGAGACGCGTTTCGCTGATCCTCAGCTTTCTCAATCGGTGCCGTCCATGCCGCCGGTCTTCTTTTTTATTTCCTGGATAGGAGGGGTTAGGGCTACGTCATCCGTGATACTGCCAACCACGGACGGCGTTGGGCGCATGCGTCGTGCTGCGTATTCTAACCTTTCGTGACGTCATCGCGCACGATGTAGCGTGCGTGTGACGTCACTTCCGGTTACACGAGATGCCATCCTCGTCAATGTTCCCCACAATTCGTGTGTGTTCTCTTAGGTCCGCCCCTTTTCCGTTCCCACCATTTCAGTTCAGGGCAAGGTATGGGCACAATGGAATGAAAAAACTTCCATTCCTATTCGGCTGTGCTGTATACCATTTTACCCTCTACATCCATACTCAAGAAGGAGTATATACATAAAAAGAAAAAGAGAATATATACAAAAATCAGAGTTCCATCAATCTTAAAGATACATCAACTATAAAGTGTAAAAAACTGCAATCTGCTTTATTTATATGTCTTAATGACGATGTATAGTAACCATGTTGTCTTGAATTAACAAAGATAAAATGTATAGTTAACACTAAAAAATATATATATATATAAAAAATATATATATTAAAAGTATCATTAAATATTAGGAAATATTAAAAAGTATTAAAAACTATATATGTATGTATAAAAAGTCACCTAATATATGGTGTCTATTATAAAAAGTGACATAACTCAAAATCGTCATTAAGCCCATATGGTTGCATAGTGTTTAAATTAAAAATCCATTGCATCTCTGTTTGTCCTATATGTTTCAACAGATCTCCACCTCTCCAATTCACAACAATTCTTTGTATTCCTATAAAATTCATTAAGTGGGGATCACAATTATGTTTTTCTTTAAAGTGCAGTGAAACGCTATGTTTTTCAAACCCTTTTTTGATGTTTCGTATATGTTCCTGTATCCTGGTGTTTAATGTTCTTATGGTTCTGCCTATATAGGCTAGTCCACAGGGACAAGTGATCATGTAAATAACCTTGTTTGAGTGGCAAGTGATCATTTGTTTGATCTTAAATTGTTTAGTTCCATTCCCTGGGGGATTAAATTCTGTTGTGTGGCATTTTATACTGTTGGTGCCTCTGCAGGCTCCACATGTGCCGCAGCCATAAAATCCGTATGATTGGTTAAGGAAATGTTTCGTTTGTTGTTTAGGTGGTATATGGTTGTGTGTCAAACTGCTCTTTAAATTACGTATATGGTTGTGTGTCAAACTCTGTTTGATAGAAGGTCCAAATATGGACAAAATATTGACTCTATATTTAACGATCAAACAAATGTAAGGATAAATCATGATCAAGAATTACAAACTAAAATACGGAATGATAGATTCAAACTAGAGAAATTGTTAGGAAGAGAGATCAAAATTAAGTGGGAGATTGCCACAATGGATAAATATACTAGAGAAAAAATTACTCCAAGAGGCCTACGCTTCTACAAAAGTCCCTCATTCGATCAAGAGGAAGAAGACTTTACACAGGAATGGTCAGACCTCTTGGAGAGTTTTTCATTTGGAATGATGAACCTGATTATTAAAAGACGTACACAGACATTGCATAAGCTCGATGTAGAAATTAATGAGACAAAAAATTCCCTAGTGGAACATATGTCATCAGAACAATATTCCAATACATTAATAGACATTCAGACCAATTTAGAAAAACTAGAGAAAAGTGTAATAGACATTAAGAAAAGAAAATACCAGAGAGATAAAGAAGACTATGCAAGGGGGGAAGTTAGAACACATACAAAGAGAAACAATAGGTTTCAGACAAATAATGGCCAAATGGTAAATGATTGGGATAACAGCCAGCACTATTACCGCAGGGGGAGAAACAATAGCCCTACAGTTAGGAGAATACCCTTACGTAATAAACATTTAAAAGACCATAGAAGAGAGAAGTCACAGGAAGGTCTACCACAAAGATCAAAACCACCTGCCAATGTTCAACCACAATGGGAGAAAGTAGTAAGGAGGAAACAATTAAGATCCCCAATTAGACAAAAAGAGAGATCACCAAGATCTAACCTAATGATAAAGAACACTCAAAATATGGATATACATAGAAATAAATATAAAGATAGGGAAAATTCTACACACAATAGATTCTTACCATTGGCGACATCCACCAATGGTGAGGATTTTTGGAATGGCCACATGAAGGGACGCCACAAGGACTCCCTTATGCACCATATGTCCCCAGGAAAGAGAAGACGGAGTTTAGAAGAAGGGGAGTTAGAGGAGGGATACGTATACAAAAAAGAAAGGAGGGAAAAATACCCAAGGAGAACGGGATTTTCAACCTTTCTAAACGAGAACTAACTCCATCACAAATAGCATTGTTACAGAAAGGATTGAAGTTCGCACCCACAAAACCACTTGATAAATTCAGCGTATATCTAGATTTAAATAGGTTCAAGAGAAAACTATGTATCAAAAAATTTTTTATGAAGACACCATTAACTAGGGCCCAAGGGATGAGTCAAGAGGGGGATATTGTTCATACGGATCTAAAGGCGAAATCCACATTTTTTCCAAAGGGTTGCATCTCAAATGAGATGATAACCTTTGAAAAAATGGTTATGAGGGATATTCAAAAAGTCAAAAAACCTAAGAACAATAATCTAAGTTTTAAAGAGAGAACAGCATTAAGAGAATTAAGAGAAGATCACACTATAGTGATTAAACCGGCAGACAAGGGAGGAGGTATAGTCATCCTAGACATAGAGGAATATGTAAAAGAATCCTTAAAATTATTGAATGATCGTAACACATATCAAATCTTACCGAAAGACCCCACTAAGGACATCACTAATAGTTACAACATCCTTATTGAAAAAGGCAAAGCACTAGGAGTTTTAAATCAACGGGAATATAAATTCCTTAATGTATCACACCCAAAAATTCCAGTATTTTACTATCTCCCGAAGATACATAAGGATAGAGATAGACCACCCGGGAGACCTATTGTCTCAGGGATTGGATCTATCTCTAGTAAATTATCCCAGTATATCGATAGATGCCTACAAACTATTGTAAGCACCAGTCCTAGTTACTTACGTGATACCATTCATATATTACAAATTCTAAATGACATAACATGGGATGATAATTATCATCTCGTGACAGCCGACGTTAGTTCGTTATATACGATTATTTCTCATGATATGGGTTGCAGAGCTACCAAATTCTTTTTAGAAAAATCACAGAAATTCTCTGAGAAACATATCAATTTTATAATTGAGGGTATAGAATGGATCCTCACAAACAATTATTTTTGGTTTGAGGAGCAGTTTTATCTCCAGACATGTGGAACGGCGATGGGAACGAGGTTCGCGCCCAGCTACGCCAATCTGTTCATGGCACTCTGGGAACAAGAGTTTATCCATGACGATGACGGGTGGGCTGCGGGCCTCGTTACCTATCGCCGTTACATCGATGATATATTTTTTATTTGGAGAGGAGACCAGGATTCTTTAAATTGTTTTCTAAACCACCTTAATACAAATGATTGGGGTATTCGCCTTACTTGCAACTCTAGTAAAACTTCGGTCGAGTTCCTGGACCTTAATATATATATAGAGGGAGGTGTATTGAAAACTTGCACTTTTTTAAAGAAAGTAGATGTAAATAGCTATATATGCGAAAATAGCTGCCACTTCTCACCTTGGTTGCTAAACGCACCTAAGGCACAACTTTTACGGATTAAACGAAATTGCACTGAAGAAGATAAATTTAGGGAACAATCAGTTAGAATTATCAATGATTTTAGTGAAAAAGGATACAAGAAAGAACTTCTAGAGAAAGCATACATAGAGGTCGATAGCATTGATAGGAATGAACTAATTAAATATAAAGATAAGAAAACAGACCCAGAATTTCAGAATCTGAATTTTATCTGTGACTTCAACAGCAACAATAGACATCTGAAAAAAATCATACAAACACATTGGTCTATTCTAATGGGTGATCCTATGCTTAACTCCATTCTTCCGGAAAAACCCACAATTACCTATAGGGGAGTACGTAATTTAAAGAGCAGTTTGACACACAACCATATACCACCTAAACAACAAACGAAACATTTCCTTAACCAATCATACGGATTTTATGGCTGCGGCACATGTGGAGCCTGCAGAGGCACCAACAGTATAAAATGCCACACAACAGAATTTAATCCCCCAGGGAATGGAACTAAACAATTTAAGATCAAACAAATGATCACTTGCCACTCAAACAAGGTTATTTACATGATCACTTGTCCCTGTGGACTAGCCTATATAGGCAGAACCATAAGAACATTAAACACCAGGATACAGGAACATATACGAAACATCAAAAAAGGGTTTGAAAAACATAGCGTTTCACTGCACTTTAAAGAAAAACATAATTGTGATCCCCACTTAATGAATTTTATAGGAATACAAAGAATTGTTGTGAATTGGAGAGGTGGAGATCTGTTGAAACATATAGGACAAACAGAGATGCAATGGATTTTTAATTTAAACACTATGCAACCATATGGGCTTAATGACGATTTTGAGTTATGTCACTTTTTATAATAGACACCATATATTAGGTGACTTTTTATACATACATATATAGTTTTTAATACTTTTTAATATTTCCTAATATTTAATGATACTTTTAATATATATATTTTTTAATATATATATATATTTTTTAGTGTTAACTATACATTTTATCTTTGTTAATTCAAGACAACATGGTTACTATACATCGTCATTAAGACATATAAATAAAGCAGATTGCAGTTTTTTACACTTTATAGTTGATGTATCTTTAAGATTGATGGAACTCTGATTTTTGTATATATTCTCTTTTGCTTTTTATGTATATACTCCTTCTTGAGTATGGATGTAGAGGGTAAAATGGTATACAGCACAGCCGAATAGGAATGGAAGTTTTTTCATTCCATTGTGCCCATACCTTGCCCTGAACTGAAATGGTGGGAACGGAAAAGGGGCGGACCTAAGAGAACACACACGAATTGTGGGGAACATTGACGAGGATGGCATCTCGTGTAACCGGAAGTGACGTCACACGCACGCTACATCGTGCGCGATGACGTCACGAAAGGTTAGAATACGCAGCACGACGCATGCGCCCAACGCCGTCCGTGGTTGGCAGTATCACGGATGACGTAGCCCTAACCCCTCCTATCCAGGAAATAAAAAAGAAGACCGGCGGCATGGACGGCACCGATTGAGAAAGCTGAGGATCAGCGAAACGCGTCTCGGACAACAAGACTGTACATTTGGTCTGTTATTTTATATATTTTTATTTAAATAAATACTTGTTAATTTTTAATCTTCAAAGAATTGTCCATGCTGCTATAAAGGAGGGTAGTGACACCCTATACTGTCACATCTGCTATTTTTACTCAGAGCCTAGTTCAAGGCTCTGGACAAGGTGAGAAGCCCTAATTCACTTCATCTATATACACTTTGTTTGGGATCTCTGCACCAAAGAAGCTTTCCTCTCTTTGTCTTTGTTTGAGGTCTGCATTTGATACGGATGATACAGGTGTGTGTCACCTTTAAGTACACACAAGTGGAAGAGATCAGAGCCGGTCCTTAAGTGGCTCTGTATCATGTGAGTGGATCCATTATTGTGATTATTTACACCACTATTTCTCTAATATACTACACTATATAGTGTCTATTTTATTCCCTTGTAGGGAATTTACTATATCACTTTGTTAACCCTTAGGGGTAAGTGCTAATTTTAATCAGCGCTACACACTTTGCTCTGTACACCGGTTGGTTTCATAGTGCACTTTTGTATACTTATTCAATAATTTGTCTGATTCTTACTTCTCTCTCTAGATTTGTAATTGAGGGTTACCACCTTAATCTACCCCTCTTAACAGGCTGCTGCTTCTTTACAGAACAAAACATAGGTGGCGGCGGCGGCAAACAAAAAATAATAAGTGCCATTTTACTGTGCTGGATCATGCCACCACCCAGATCAGTGCCACTGATCCCATTAGAGGACAAAACTTCAACAGTTCGATAAGAAAACATGCCCCAGACGTATTGTCACAATCCCCAAAACAGACTAATAATAGAAAAGTAATCAGGGGTCAATGTTAGCTGCCTGTGATCAAGGCCCTTCGGGTGAATATTCCACAATAAGTCTCGGCTCAATCAACGAGCTCCACTTCTCTGTGATCTGAAATGAAAATCAGTGACGATAAAGTTTTCATTAAATAGTCGACATTAACACAAAACAAATACATGTGAATGTAAGAAACCAACATCAATACAGCAAAACCTTAATGTGTTAATTCAAAGGATGAAAATCAAGGAGACTCAAAAGTACTCAAATATATTTTCTCAAAAAACTGCACATGTGATGGAAGCCGAGAGAAAAGGCTGCCAAACTGTACATGATCAAAAACAGATCTCTTTATAGCGCTATATGCAACTTACCTTGCTTTCTGACCTACCTTAATTGTCTTTTGGTTCTGAATTAGCTAGGGTTTTATAACAGACTATTTCTTACAGATCTTTACGTGACCCACCTTACTTTCCTGAGTTACTGCATATTCTACAATGTCTGTTCCATCCTCGGTCTGATACACAAGGTCAAATTTCCCAGGTTCCTTCTCTCCTAAAATATATCATTTTTTAAAAATAGCTTTAATTAGAACAAATTATATTCAGAAAAAAAAAAAAAAAGTGTCTTAATGGGTGTGAACAGACAAGATTACAATTTAAAACTAAATGTAGGTAGATTCAGATGAAAATACATTGAAAGGATAAGGCTAAACACCAAAACCACTTCAGCTTAATGAAAGTCTTGTGATGTGTAGACCACGCCCCAGTAATCTCACTTCAACCGACAGCCGACACTTACTTGTCTGACGTGAAAGAATTTCCACTTCTAGCTCTTGTGTTAAAGGATTGTAATTCAGGAGTTTTCCTTCCTAAATTTACAAACATACATCAATACATGTGTATTAAACTTTTTTTTTTATTCTTCAGTACTGAATTACACTATATTTTATAATAGAACATATATATCTCATAACTCATCAGCAAACATAGCATGTTGGCCCAGGACATACATGAAAACAAGAGAAATATCAAGGTATCCTCTCTGGTAAAATATTTGATAAATAAATGTTATCTATATGGCCCCTTGATCAAATACACTTGTAGATTAATTAAGAATTACTGAAGTGTAGCGAGAAAAATAAATAAATAAATTTTTAAGTTAGAAGAAATATTTTTAAAAATTATCCAACACCGCTACAGTCATAGCTTGACCATTAGAACTTTAATTCTACCATTCAGTTTCCAGTTCATTACAATTTAATGATGCGTGAATACGTACATTGGTTCTTTTACAGCAAAGACTCCATTTTAAAAAGGCTTGGAAGGGAACTAGCCAAGACTGTCTGTGCCATGCATGGCATTACAACAGGGTTTGATGCATGTCTCAATAACACAATATATTGCCCTTTATTTGTTCCCACCGTTGTTGTAAAGCAGTATACACTACATTTTGTTCGTTAAGAGCTTGCATTTTAAAGGTTATTCAAAGCACCGTGACTACTTCAGTGATTTGAAGTGGTCATGGTGACTGGAGTCGAAGTTTTGCTAGAAAACGGTGGACATACAGGAGTTTAACCCCTTTGCTCCCAGAGGTGTAACACCACCTCTGGCAGTGTCATTAGCCAGCCCAGAACAAGGGTTCCGTGATGCCTATGTCAGTTCTGTCCCTAATGAACTTCTGCCGCTGGCATGACTGGCATCCTATAGAGTGGCACAACCTCCCCTACAAAACGGGCCATGTTCCTCCCTCAGCCTGTCATCTCCTGGCAGAGGGGGGCACGGATGTCACCAGAGGGAGGATTGGGCTGCATTAAGTAGTTCGTCTTGGCACTGACATGGAGGTAAAGTTTAGCTTTTTATTTTTATTTTTTAAATTGGTGCCACCAGCATAGGAAGAGATTTCTGAAACACGGTTTTGATTGGAATAACCATTTAAACTTAAATTTACACAAAAAGGTATTTTCCCCATGTTAAGCAAAATAACTTATTACTAAGTAGTAATATTTAAAAAGCACCCTCTAAATGTTATAATAAAACCTTTTCAGTGTTCATTAGGGAACGAACGTGTGTGTGAGAATATTGGAGGTTCACAGACTTGGCTTACAGCTGGGTTACATTTCAGACAAAATACCTTGTAATCTGAAACTTCGGGAGTGTAGTTTTCTGTCAATTCAAGGAGCTACGAAAGAAACATAACATTTCAAGAGAATTTAAAGGGCAATAGTAAAACACAAAAATGATGGAACTTTGAATATGTGTATATGAACAAGTGCTCAAAATGTCCACTCACCCACTAGCCATTGGCAAATGAAAATCCGTGGCGTGTATGCCATTCTACTAAAGGCTTATTTCATGGTCTAGGATAGATGATATTTTGTTGCAACTACCCCACTTTGATACGATTTTTTTGCTGCAATTATACAGAGGCACCAGCTACATGATTCTTCAGTCTGGCATAATGTATACACATATTTTATCTTTGACCACTGACTAAATAGTATTGCGTGTTTTTTGTTTCATTTATTGTACACGATTTTTGTACAATTGTAATCATTTTTATACGATGCGTCAGGCTCGTTATGTAGTAAAAGTATTTGACGATCCTCTGATTCTCAAAGGGTTAAAGCAGGCTGGTTAAATATAACGAGTTAGGACAAAGAAACGGGACCTGGAGCTTGGTACTGTCTGCCATATGGTCAGGTTGTTATATCGTCATCTAGCTTCACTGCAGCAAGGAAGAGCTCAATCGTTGTCTTTCACTGATCGCCTGTGGCACTTCCTCAACAGTCAGCATTTTAAGAGATTATCCAGGGTTCACAAACACTCTTAGCCAGTCAATGAGTTAAGTCTAAAGTTGAGCAAAACTGAGATTTCTAAAGATGAATTAAAGAATGTGACCTCCTACACACGTTGCCCTAACAACTTAGCAGACTGGCTGGTCCAATATTACTAATATCTGCACAAGGACCAAAATATTCACATCAATAATACTTACTTTAAAAGCAATACGTGTACCAGTTTGTGGAGGCGCAGCAAGCAGAGGAAGTGTATTGTAATCTCTTTTGGGAATATCTGGTGGATTCTAAAAATAAAAAATAAAAATTAATGAGTAACTGTGCTCAGAAGTAAAATCTATTTCTTAAAATCACAATAAAGTTTGACGTTTTAAAGGTCCCTTGAAGGACAAGAGTTAGGTCATTTATCGTATTAATTTGCAAAGAACCCTTTAACTAAATCCTCTGCATGGTAACAATTGTAGATGGAAAGTAGGATTTTGTTCTAGGAAGGACTGACCCATAAATAGATTTTTGACCTTAGTACATTTGCTTCCCAGAAATCTGAAGTGCCACGTGGCCACAACACAAATTAGTTCACCCTAGACCTATGGTCTAGGACATTTTTATTGTGGGTCAGTCCTCGCAAAGGCCACAGGGGTCTATTTACTAAATGCTTACATCATTCAGCTCAATTCTCCGGCACTCTGTTATAATACCTCTGTGGTTTGCTCTAATTACTAACAACCGAATGCTATGAGAATTGAGCCAAATTAATCTCACTAAACTTCCAAAAGTGGACTGAATGTTTTCCAGTAGTAGTGTAAGGTAGTGTAACCTCTGCTCTGTTCTCTGAAAACATATCGGGCCCTTACCTGGATGACAAAGGACCTATTTGTTACCGGCTCATTCAGCTGCTGCTGTTTCAGTGTCTCTTTATCGTAACTTTTAAAGAAATTTTCATTGTCTCTCCCTCTTCCAGGGTTTCCATGCACTCCTCTCATTCTAAACCCACGACCGCCATGCCCCCTCCATGGAAAGTCTCCTCTTCCACGTCCCAAGCCACGTCCTATGGCACAGGATTTGGGTAATGGTCCCTGCTGCACACCTACAGGTACGGGAGCGTTTCCGTTAGGTATATGTAGTGGATGAGAAACTGAGGAATTTGTAGCAGCAATTGTTTTTTTGATGACGAAGGTATCAGAGTCAGAGCTCTCAGCATCATCTTTCCTCTGCAAATCTACAGATGAGCTTTTCAGAGGTTGAGGGCTAATTGTCTCTGTACTTTTGCTACCATGATCATTGGTAACCAAAACTTTACTAGAGTCTGTGTCTGAGCTAGAAGATGAAGACGCTTTTTTCTTGGCCTTTTCAGAAGACGTTAAAGTTTCAGTAATGGTAAATACAGTCTTTGCCCCTTGGACACTAGTGTTAGCTTTATTATGGTTCTTATCAGGTCTCAATGTCTCTTGAATGTGCTTTGAAGACGGCGTTAAGGAATCATCACACATGTTTTTAGCCTTCTTAGATTTAAGCGTTTTCTTGGTCTCGTTCACTGCGGTTGGTGCCTTAGGAACATCCAATGTTTTTGTTTTCTTCTTGACTTTTTCCTTCTGTGATTTTTTTGCTTCTTCTGCAGATTCGTCTGAATGGATGTCCGAGGAGACATCCCTCCTGCTTTTCTTCCGTTTTGTTTTTTTAACCGACTCTGGATCACTCACAACTTTGAGGATTTGTTGAGAGTCAGCCTTCAGTTTTTTTGGTTTTATTCCTACAGCGTCTTCATCGTCCTCCGATCTTGGACAGTGTCTTTTCTTCGTTTTTTTTGATGGCGATACAAATATAGTTCCTGATTTAGGTGCATCTTCCAGATAACTTTCATCCCATTTAACTCTATGAGAGGGGGGGGATGAGAAATCACGTCAGCTTGGCATTTAAACAGGTACTGTGGTAAAAATCCCCATCAGTACAAACATGCACCATCTAAAGTGTCACACTGCAATCCCTTAAATGCTTTTGATCTACATCTCCCATAATATGCTATAAATATATGATTAACCAACAACTATAAAGAGTACAGTTTGACATTACTAGCTTAGGGTTCTGTTACTATGTTTATTGTGCAAGTAAATATAATAAGCGAAGACTACGAGGCACAATCAAATAAACATAGCCTCGATTTTAACCATAGTAAAGTATGAGAACAAATGTATTGATGGGGCAATTACCTAGGAGATATCAAGTATGCTGACTAGAATGAAGAAAAAAATAAATCCAACCACCTCCCCTTCCCATGACAGATAGCAGACCCCTCAACCCTCCCCCGCGACAAATAGACCCCTCAACCTTCCTCCGTGACCGATAGTAGATCTCTCACCTCTCCAGTGACAGATCTCTGCACCCCACCCAACAGAAGGTTAATCTCTCAATAATTGCCCCTTACTTGACGCAGTATTAGTAATTTACTATAATAATTGCCCCTTGACGCAGTATTAATAATTTACTATAATAATTGCCCCTTACTTGACGCAGTATTAGTAATTTACTATAATAATTGCCCCTTACTTGACGCAGTTTTAGTAAATGTACTATAAATGCCCCTTACTTGACGCAGTATTAGTAATTTACTATGAGAATTGCCCCTTACTTGACGTATTAGTAGGGGTTGCGTCTGTGACGCAGTCTCGGTATGTACTATGGGGGTTGCGTCTGTGACGCAGTCTCGGTATGTACCATGGGGGTTGCGTCTGTGACGCAGTCTCGGTATGTACCATGGGGGTTGCGGCTGTGACGCAGTCTCGGTATGTACTATAGGGGTTGCGGCTTACTTGACGCAGTCTCGGTATGTACTATTGCGGTTGCGGCTTACTTGACGCAGTCTCGGTATGTACTATGGGGATTGCGGCAGTGACGCAGTCTCGGTATGTACTATGGGGATTGCGGCTGTGACGCAGTCTCGGTATGTACTATGGGGATTGCGGCTTACTTGACGCAGTCTCGGTATGTACTATGGGGATTGCGGCAGTGACGCAGTCTCGGTATGTACTATGGGGATTGCAGCTGTGACGCAGTCTCGGTATGTACTATGGGGATTGCGGCAGTGACGCAGTCTCGGTATGTACTATGGGGGTTGCGGCTGTGACGCAGTATCGGTATGTACTATGGGGATTGCGGCACTGACGCAGTCTCGGTATGTACTATGCCGGTTGCGGCTGTGACGCAGTCTCGGTATGTACTATGGGCGTTGCGGCTTACTTGACACAGTCTCGGTATGTACTATGGGGATTGCGGATTACTTGACGCATTCTCGGTATGTACTATGGGGATTGCGGCAGTGACGCAGTCTCGGTATGTACTATGGGGGTTGCGTCTGTGACGCAGTCTCGGTATGTACTATGGGGGTTGCGGCTGTGACGCAGTCTCGGTATGTACTATGGGGGTTGCGGCTGTGACGCAGTCTCGGTATGTACTATGGGGGTGGCGTCTGTGACGCAGTCTCGGTATGTACTATGGGGGTGGCGTCTGTGACGCAGTCTCGGTATGTACTATGGGGGTTGCGGCTGTGACGCAGTCTCGGTATGTACTATGGGGGTTGCGGCTGTGACGCAGTCTCGGTATGTACTATGGGGGTTGCGGCAGTGACGCAGTCTCGGTATGTACTATGGGGATTGCGGCAGTGACGCAGTCTCGGTATGTACTATGGGGATTGCGGCAGTGACGCAGTATCGGTATGTACTATAGGGGTTGCGGCAGTGACGCAGTCTCGCTATGTACTATGCCGGTTGCGGCAGGGACGCAGTCTCGGTATGTACTATGCCGGTTGCGGCAGTGACGCAGTCTCAGTATGTACTATGCCGGTTGCGGCAGTGACATAGTCTCGGTATGTACTATGGGGATTGCGGCTGTGACGCAGTCTCGGTATGTACTATGGGCGTTGTGGATTACTTGACGCAGTCTCGGTATGTACTATGGGGGTTGCGGCTGTGACGCAGTCTCGGTATGTACTATGGGGGTTGCGGCAGTGACGCAGTATCGGAATGTACTATGGGGGTTGCGGCAGTGACGCAGTCTCGGTATGTACTATGCCGGTTGCGGCAGTGACGCAGTCTCGGTATGTACTATGCCGGTTGCGGCTTACTTGACGCAGTCTCGGTATGTACTATGGGGATTGCGGCAGTGACGCAGTCTCGGTATGTACTATGGGGGTTGCGTCTGTGACGCAGTCTCGGTATGTACTA